GCCATCTCGTTCTTCTACGATGGGACTTTCTTCGTCCTCTTCAGTTGCCTTGAATCCGCCTTGTCGCTGGATGAAGCGATTACGCGCCTTGTGATACTCTGCTTTGATCTCGCGGTCCAAAAGGACTGGATCAAACTCATCAGGTGCCTGGGGCTCTGAGGGTAGAGGGGCGTGCTCGGTAATGGTAGTGGCTAGTGTTCGTCCAGCAGGGCCACTTGGCACAGGCGACGCTTCTGGGACCGGAGGTGTTGGCAGCATCTGGGGAGGAGTGTTCGTCGCAGCGCGGGCACTCTTGAACCTGGACACCTTGGCGGGTTTGGGTGGCTCTATCGGAGCTGCAGGAATTGCAGACCGCTCGACAATGGTATCGGATATGGTCGTTGTGGATCTAATGGGTAACCGCGCGGCCCCGACTGGTTCTTGTACTGGCTTTGGTGCTTCAGAGATGTCCAGGTCGTCGGCAAAACGCACTCCCTTCTTCTTCGACTCCTTTGTATCAACCGGCGCCGGCGTCGTCGCAGGAGAAGCCATGGACTCGTCGAACTGATCGTCACTCTTCACCTTCATGGTGCGAATGTCTCCGATGTGGTCTTCAAGAGATGGCTTGCCCGACTCAGGCCCTACATTCTCAAGCATGCGAGCGCCCAATTTCTTCTCAAGTTCCATCATTTGCTTGCGATAGTCCTCGGTGATGACAGGCTTGGTGCTGCGGCCATACTCGTCTTCCTCTTCGTCATCCTCAGTGTCGTAGTCGCCATAGTCGTCATCATCCTCTTCGTCAGAGTATGACGCAGTAGGCTGGTCCAGATCGAGTTCAGCGACAATCTGTCCGACTTCTGACATGCCATACTGAAGCATTTGCCGTCTCAGCTCGGCTTCCTCTACAGACTCGTCGTCTGGTATAATGGCATTGGCCAAGCTCTCGTAGTCGTCCTGCGTGAGCTCCTCATCGACAGAGAATTTTGCTTCGTGGTCAGGTTGTGCAGGTTGTGGTGTAGCTTTCGGGGTGGGTTCGACGTCGACCTCCTCGGCGAAAGACACTGACTTCTTGATAGACTCTGAGTCTGAAGATTGGGATGAGGATGTTGCGGGGATGTTTTCGGAGGACAGAGTAGGTTTCGACTCCGGTGTGGTGTGTGAAGGTAGCGCAGACGTGGACGACGTATCTGGAGAAGCCTCCTGCGCCTCTGCGTTCTTCTTCTCCAGCTCCGCCTTCTGGACACCCGCCTTGCGCAGGACCTCAACAAGCTCAGCCGCAGCCTTGCCCGTCTGGTTCACGGAGCTCGAAACTTCGTTGCCCTCGTCATCCAGTTCTTCCTCAATGTCCATCATCGGCTCGCCCTCTTCATTGTCCATACCCGGCTCTAACAGAACATCGACACCAGCAAGTTTCTTCTCGGCAGCATCGAGGTTCTTTTCGATAGTAGCACTGCTCGTCCGAACATAGTCAATGCGTCTAGAGATCATGTCAATAACTTGGTTAGCAGTGCGTTCCATGGGCGAGTTCTTGCAAAGCAGCTCCTCGACTTCCTTGTGGTCCAGCAGGGTAAGGTCGAGGTCGCGTGCCATCTCACGCATCTGTGAGGGTGAAGGGTCGCTGGCGCCTTGGATCTCTTCCTTGAGCGCCTCATACTCAGCCTCCCAGGTCGTCCAGTGGGAGAGGGCTTTGCGCAGCTTATCGACATTTTGCTGCAGCTGCACACGGCGGCGCTCAATCTCCTCTAGGGCGCTTTGTGTTGAGGCTGCCATTTTTGCTGATGTGGTGAGTGGGTTGGGGAAGAAGGAAAGGTGAAGGAATTTTGAGTACGAGAAAAAGCGTCGGTCTTGGCGTTAGGCCCCACAAGGGAAACCATGCAAGCCATGCATACAGATCGTCGGTATGTCGTCTGTCAGACAGGAGCAGTTCCTGGACCTCAGATTCAGTGATTATCCCCTCGTCTACATCTCTATCGATCCCAGACATGCTCCCTATCTCGTAAGACGACCGGCGACTTCCACCCGCTGAGTCAGCACCAAACCTCAAGATCCCGAGGCCCCATCCTCGCAGCTCCATCGCCTCCGCCTCATACCCGCCATGTCGAAATCCGCGCGCGGCGCCGACGCGTCCAAGCCAGATGGCGGTGCGTCTCTCTCCAAAACCCTCTACAACTTGTCTTTACAGCAGTCACAACCCCCACGTTCCCTCGCTGACGATGCATCAGACTCTTGCCCCGTATGCAGGTCGTCGCGCTTCCTCAACTCCAACATGCAGTTCAAGATCAACCCGATATGCTACCACAAGATGTGCGATACCTGCGTGGATCGGCTCTTTGGCAAGGGCAACAGTATATGTCCTGTTGCTGGATGCGCAAAGACGCTGGCGTATCGGAACTTTCGGAGGGCGACGTTTGAGGATCTGAAGGTGGAGCGGGAGGTCGATCTGAGGAAGAAGGTTATGAAGATGTGAGTGCAAATGATTGGAGACATTGACATCTATCTAACAATGCACAGTATGAACAAAACAGAAGACGACTTCGAGTCCCTCCGCGACTACAACGATTACCTCGAGCAAGTCGAAGAAATCAACTGGAACCTCATCCTCAACATCGACGTAGACGCGACCTGGGCAAAACTAAAGAAATTTGAAGCCCTCCAAAAAGCCGAATCAGAAGCCGCCGCCCGCAATAAGAGCACCGGCATCAAAGACGACGTAGACCCCGGTTTCGCAATCCGCGGACTGAAGAAGCGCGTCGCGCCACCCGTCGAAGCACCCTTCGACCCATTCGGCGGCTACACCATCGCGCCGCAATACTACGTCCTCCAGGACAGCTACGAGGTGGACTGGTATGCGCGTATGAAGCGAGACCCGGCACACTTGGTGGGAGGACACAGCTTGCAAGATTACTGCAGTCGAACACTACGCGAAGCATTCGGTGGCCTGGGTGTGTTTGTCGAGGACGAGATTCCCGCGCGCGAAGCTCCGTCGATGACCATGGATGCGGATGTTGGCACCGAGCATGCCGCGACGGCAGCCATGAGCAGAGATGTCATCATGGACGACGTTTTCTAGTTTTCTAGCACTGTGATACCCGGCTTCAGGCCAGCATTTGGGCGGCGTTGAGATAGCGTTTGAGTAGACGAGATTATTTTTCATGACATTGCTACGCGGTTCATATCCTGCTTTGCCCAACCTCACCTGCAGCTCCGTGATAGCCAATGTCGTTGTACTCGAACTGCTCCTCAGGCAGTGCGTACCCGTCTCCACCCCTGCCTCGTTGCGCCCGCGTAGCGATGGGATTTGGGTTGATGTCCCTTCCTGTATCCTCTTCATCTCTCTTCGCTTCCCCTCCATTCAGCACATCCAATTGCTGAAACACGCCCCTCGTCCTCGTGCCCCTCATAACCTTGACATCCAGTGCCAACGCGCACCCGGTTGCCACAAAGCCTAGCAACGCGAAGCTGAACAGCGCCTTGTACATCCTGCACACGCTGACCCCCGTATCTGACTCCCAACTGTCTGCGTCGCACACATGCGCCAATGTGCCCGAGCACCACCATGCCAGCAGAGCGAAGGATATGGTCCAGAGAAGTGCGAGGACGCTGTTGAGAATCAGGTTGAGGGACGCGGATAGGCCATGGCGGATGTGTAAGACGATCGTGGTTGTGAGTGCGGCGAGGGTGAGGAGGGATACGGTCATTAGCTGAGTAAATGTTAGCATCGTCTTGGAGTATACATGATGACGAAAGTTGGAAGGAGAACATGGAGAAAAGTACCAAAATAAACGTCCACGGCAACCTATACCCATCATGCGCCAATTCACGCAGGAAGTAAAACATGATGCTCGCTACTACTAAGGACGAAAGCAGTTGCGCGCATCGTATGATGTGGAAGGGTAGGAATGGGTAGGCTGTGGGCTTCACCCGCGTCTTGCGCGGTGCCATCGTGGGCGAATATGTGACGTGCTGTTTGGCGCTGTAGGGACGACTGCGGTATGTAGGAGATAATAATAGTAGAGGCGTTAGTGGATGAGCAAAGATCGCATCTCCGTCATGCCCATGTTGAGACGCGGAGTTGAGACTAAATTAGGGGTCCAGCTGGCTGGCCTGGGCAGCTCAAGTTTCTCGTGTTGCTGCGGTTGGGCCGACATGCCACATTTTGGACGAAAGGCATGTGAGAAAGCTACAATTCTTCCAGAGTCTCGAATGAATAGGTTGGAGAGTAGTTGCGGTGTGTAGTGTGAAGATAGCCTTGTTCGCCCCTGCTCATAGAGGACATCAGGCACCCGACTAGCGTGCCTGCCCACTTGGGCGTTTCAATGTTCTACAGCTTTTGACTATGATTTCATTAACGGCTGATTGCATCTTCACCACGTTCCTGCTACACGTACTTCTACCGCTGGCGTACGTTCGGAATAACGGAGATGTAGTGTTGGCGGCAGGTATGGATGTGCCCTACGGCCATGGACCGTTGCCACCAGTGTGGAATACGGCTCGCGCATTATGCACCGTCCTACAAAAAAGCGTCTAGTTCCCGTTCATCACCTCCCGGACCCACATTGCGGCTGAGTAGTCGAACAAGTCTTCACCATGTCCCCGGAAGCCATAGGTACCATGTTCCCGATGGGATGGCTCTCAGCATGGCGACAACGCCAGGGATCGCGACCGCACCGCCTCGAGAGCACCAGAAAGCACTGAAGCTCCCATGAAGTATCCGGATTACTCATACGAGATCCCCGGTAGACGGCGTAAGGACGCAGGCAAAGAGTGGGTGTTGTGCCCGCCCCTGTCCCGTCTCGCATCGGATAAAATGGATACACGATATCAGGCCCGCACCTGCATATGGAATCTTGGATCTCGGCCCAAGATCTCGATGTCGCTAGCATGCTTTTTCTAGTTCAGTAGCGCTGACAAGCAATTTATATTCCGCTGGTATGCTCCAGGGCGGTGATTTACCGGTCTCCAAGTCTTGTATCGGCTATTCATTCTTTTGAGAGAGCGCTGCTTTTCCACGGGACGCGATTATGAAGTTACAGAAGTCCACTTTGCTAGCGTTTGCGCTGTTGGAGTGTGGTAGTGCCGCAGTTGTCGAGCGGGAGGCAAAGGGAGCGGTCAATTCTAGCTCTTATGACTTTGTATGTTGTCTCGCGAGGCGAACAGTTTCCATCCCGACTCCGAAGATGATCTAACAGACGATGTAGATTGTAGTTGGAGGCGGAACTGCAGGTCTCGCCGTCGCTTCACGCATCAGTATCGGACTCCCAGAACTCAGCGTCCTTGTCATAGAAGCTGGACCCGATGGCCGTCAGGAACCGGGTATCAGCGTCCCAGGAAGAAAAGGATCAACTCTTGGTGGCAAATATGACTGGAACTTCACCACCATTGCCCAACCCGGCGCCAACAACCGCGTGTTTGCGCAGAATCGTGGCAAAGTGCTTGGAGGATCCTCTGCGCTCAATCTCATGACATGGGACAGGACTTCCGAGTACGAACTGGACGCATGGGAGAAGCAGCTCGGCAACAAAGGATGGAACTGGAAGAACTTGTACGCTGCAATGTTGAAGTGCGAGACATTCCTACCGTCGCCTGCATACGGCAGCGAGGGAGTAGGCACAACGGGGCCCATCCGCACGCTCATCAACAGGATCTTTCCCCGTCACCAGTCCTCATGGTATCCCACCATGAATAGCCTCGGCTTGGCGACAAACCGAGAGAGTCTAAACGGTAACCCCATCGGCGTCTCGACCCAACCAAGCAACGTCAGCCCCAACTACACTCGCTCTTACGCCCCAGAATACCTCAAACTCGCCAAGGATAACCTCGTCTTGAAACTAGACACGCGTGTGGCGAAGATCAACTTCAAAGGAAAGACTGCCGTCGGTGTCACCCTGGAAGACGGTACAACAATCACCGCGCGAAAGGAGGTCATTCTCTCGGCTGGATCGTTCCAAACTCCTGGTCTTCTGGAACACTCCGGTGTCGGCAACTCTACTCTCCTCAAGAAGCTCGGTATTCCCGTCGTCAAGCATTTACCTTCGGTTGGCGAGAACCTCCAAGATCACATTCGCATCCAAATCTCCTACCAACTGAAGCCCGAATACCCTTCCTTCGACGTCCTCAAGAACGCCACTCGCGCGGCTGCCGAGCTAGCCCTCTACAACGCGGATGAGGTCTCACTTTACGACTACACCGCCAGCGGTTACGCATACTTCCCCTGGGGCACCGTCAGCAACTCCACTGCATCCACGCTCCGCAACCTCGTTGACAGCGACGCGAGCTTGACGTCCGCAACCGACAAGTTGAAGAAATCATACTTCTCCCCCACTCTCAGCACAAAGGTACCTCAACTGGAAGTCATCTTCTCAGACGGCTACACCGGTCTGAAAGGCTACCCCGCCGCCAACTCCACCCAATTCGGCATCGGCACATTCGCACTAATCGGCGTGGTTCAACACCCCCTCAGCAAAGGAAACGTCCACATCTCCTCCCTTAACATCAGCGACAAACCGCTCATAAACCCAAATTACCTCTCCCACCCCTACGACCTCGAAGCCGCGACCAACCTCGCCAAATACCTGCGTAAGATCGCTTCTACCGCGCCCATGAGCGAGGTCTGGACAAATGAGTACGAACCGGGCAGTGCTGTGCAGACGGATGCGGATTGGCGCAAATATGCGCTGGCGAATACGCTGAGTATTTATCATCCTATTGGTACTGCTGCGCTGCTGCCGGAGAAGGATGGCGGTGTTGTGGATGCGGAGTTGAAGGTCTATGGTACCAAGGGGTTGAGGGTGGTGGATGCGAGTGTTATTCCTCTTTTGCCGAGTGCGCATCTGCAGACGCTTGTTTATGGGATTGCGGAGAGGGCTGCGGAGATGATTGTGGGGGAGCATAGTTAGGTTGTTAGTGAATCTATGCATGATGTACCATTGTATACTGAGTGGCAAGACAGCGGCACCGGATTTCACAGATGTTCGTGATTGACGCGTTATTCCATGCCGGTCATGCTTCATAAGCGTGGTATGTTCTTCCTGTAAGGCCTCCCCACTAGTTCGGGCTAGCTTCCCTCCCCCCGCATGTTAGGCCTAGTCCGACCATTACTATTCAGATGCCGCCGATGGCGACATGCCGCGGCATCACCACCAACGCGCCCTGCGGATGACACCTCAACAAGTCGATGCAAAGCACTATTAGGATGGATGCCGACGGCAGCAACGTCCATAGATGAGCCTCTTCACCAGAGCATGACACCCAATAAGTCGTTCTAGCAGCACAGGCTACAACCTGAAGCTCGAACAGAAGACGTCGATCAATTGACTACACACCGCGAAAACCTCGCTCAGATTCACTTCCTAAGCTATCAACATGTCTTTCTCGATAGGCATGCCCTGGAACGAGGGCGAAGAGAAGATGCACCGCCTCCTCCGCATTCCGCCTCAAGACAATCCAACATCAGCCATGCTCACACCACAAGCAGCGTTCATGTTCCAACGCGCCCCTCTGCTCGCATTCGGGACTCTAGATGCACAGCATCGACCTTGGACGACACTATGGGGTGGCGAGCCTGGTTTCTCAGAGCCGCTTGGTGGAGGTTTCATCGGTGCGCGCACTCTCGTCGACGGCAAGCATGATCCTGTTGTGCAAGCGCTTGTGGGCGAGAATGAGAAAGGCGAGGGTAAAGTAGCCGTCACGAATACCTCTCAAGATGTCTTTCTAACTTATTACTAGTATATAGCTCCCTTGCGGTGCTAAGACATTTTACTATTCGTGCTAACAGCTTGATAGACGACTCAGGCAGAAGACGGTGGGAAGTTAGTAGCAGGTCTAGCTATCGACCTGATGACAAGAAAGAGAGTCAAAACCGCCGGACGCATGATCGCAGGTACGATAAAAGACGTCGAAGTAGAAGTAGAGGGTTCGGAAAACAGGGAACAAACACAGCTCCAACTCGTCACGAAAATCGAGCAAAGTCTCGGGAACTGCCCAAAGTACCTCAACCAATACGAAATCCGGCCCGCGCTTTTAGACCCAGAGCTCGTATCGAAAGGCTCGTCGTTGTCTGAAGAAGGGAAAGCACTGATATCCAAATCCGACATGTTCTTCCTCTCCACCAGCACAGAAGACGACATGGACGTCAACCACCGCGGCGGCCCACCAGGCTTCGTCCGAATCATCTCCCCCACTATCCTTGCCTATCCCGAGTATTCTGGGAACAGACTCTACCAATCCCTCGGCAACCTGATGCTGGACCCGAAAATCGGGCTTGTGTTTCCAGACTACGAGACCGGAGATGTTGTGTATATAACAGGCACGACCGAGATCCTCGCTGGCACAGACGCCTCCGCCCTCCTCCCAGGCAGCAACCTCGCCGTTACAATCACAATCTCAGAATGCCGCTACGTAAAAACCGGTCTACCATTCCGCGGCACGAAGAAGACACCAAGTCCGTACAACCCACTCGTCCGCACACTAGCGACCGAAGGCAATGTCCGCGCCGCCCTATCCAGCACCTCCTCCTCCTCTTCCCGCTCCACGCGCCAAACAGCCCTTCTCACAAAAAAAGAGATCCTCACACCCACCATCGCGCGCTTCACTTTCTCCGTCAATGGCGGCCTCACATACCGCGCTGGCCAATGGATCGCGCTTGATTTCAGCCAAGAGCTCGATGTGGGATATGAGCATATGCGGGATGAGGATCCGGCGAGTTTGAACGATGATTTTGTTAGGACGTTTACGATTTCTTCGACTCCTACTGCAGGAGACGCGGGTAAAGAGAAGGAGTTTGAGATTACCATCCGAAAAGTGGGGGCTGTGACTAAGTTTCTGTTCCAGCAGAATGAGCGGGCGGGGCTGGAGGTGGGTGTTTTGGGGGTGGGAGGGGAGTTTAAAGTCGTGAGTGCTAGGGCTGGAGAGGGGAGAAACGTGTTTGTGGCTGGGGGTGTGGGTGTCACACCACTATTCGGTCAAATCGGTGGGCTGGATTTACAAAACGGCGGGTTCATGTTACTGTGGGCGGTAAGGGGTGAGGATGTGGGGTTGGTGCTGGATACATTCAAGCGGTATCCTGGGCTTGGGAAGTGTGCGAAGGTGTTTTTGACTGGGCGGGCTGTGGAGGATGAGCTTGCTAAGATGAAAGATGAGATCAAGGCGCAGGCGGAGGTGGTGGAGAGGAGGATGATGAAAAGCGATGTACAGGATGTGCAGGCTGAGACGTGGTATGTGTGTGCTGGAAAGGGGATGAGGAAGGAGGTGACTGGGTGGCTGGATGGACAGAAAGTGGTGTTTGAAGACTTTGATTATTGAGAGCTGGATACGGTGGATTACTCTCTTTCCGCAAATAGGCTTGTAGAATGCGACTTGAGTTAACGGCGCGTGCAGTCTACAACGTATTGAAATCTATCAAATCATCAGTCTCTGAAATTATATATTCTTCAACCAGAGACGTCGTGTGCTAAAATACCTTAGATTTGTAGCGCGTGCCGTCTACATCCTATCCAATCCTTCTACATCACCAGTATCCAATGTTACGTCTACCCCAACCCAAAATCCCCATCCCATCCCCCTCCTAAACCCTCCGCCTAACCCTCCCCGCAATCCTCTCTCCCGGCCTCATCGTTCCAAACGCCTTCCTCTTATTCCCCGGATCCAACCTCCTCGCCTTCTCCAAATCACTCACTTCAATCTCAAACACGCCCATCAATACCGCTAGTGTCACAATCCCGATATTGCGTGCAAAATGCCTACCAGGACATTTATGTCCGCCGCCGCCGAAAGAAGTCCAGCTACCGCTTAGACCTGCGTCGCTGAACTTTGAGCGGTTGGCGGTTTTGTTGGGGGGAGTCGGAGTGGAGGTGGGGGTGGAAGTGGTGGAAGAGGTGGTGGAAGGAGAAGTGGAGGTGTTGACGAGATACCGCTCAGGCCAAAAGGTATCCAGAGGTTTAGCAACAGTATGGGACCGGATGGCACGCCAGCCCTGGGTGAATTGGCCGGCGAATTTATGACTGATGAAGACTTGTGTTCCTTTGGGTACGGTGTATTTCCCATCTAGCTTCCACGTTTCGGATGTGACTTCCCTGACTGCGAGGTTGGAACTGTACATTCGTGTTGTTTCGGCGTGGAGGCTTTGGAATAGCGGGCGCGAGGTGAGTTGCATGAAGTTGTACGCTTTTGTCTCCTCGTTTACCTGACTTTTCATCTCAGACAACACACGCTGTTGCAGTTTCGAATTGCGCAGCGTTTCAAACAGGTACCAGAATGTGACGGGCACGGTTAGGCTGGTTCCTCCGTAGAGTAAACCGAGAGTTTGAGCGGACCGGCCTTCGATACCGTGGCCAGGCATTTCGCTGTATAGTTTCTCCCGCTCTTGAAGAAGGCCCGAACCCGCGACGGGGTCCCACACAGTGTTCACGGCGTTGGCTTGACGCAGAGCCTCGGATTTTATGGTCCATGTGCGGATTGCGGAGAGCAGGCGGTCGCGGGCGGCGTATGCTTTTGGGATGACGAAACGGGGGAGGCCCATGAAGAATTGATCTGTGGCTTCTATGTGAATCCAGAGGTCTGTTATAATTTCTGGATAAGACTCGATAATCGAACTGCCCAGTAGTGTTTCGGTTATGCCGTAGGAGAGGTGGTATTCGAGGAAAGCGTAAAGATCGGGAATTTCGTGCCATGTGCCATCAGGGGTCGAGGCGAGGGTCTCGGAGATGGTGCGCTTCATGACGTCGAAGAGGCGTTGGACGAGGAGACCGAGGTTGGAGCCAGTGGTGTGTTGTCGGATGTGTGTTGTTTGGATGTAGTCTGTGTTGCTTTCTGGGGAGTTGTAGTAGTCGATGGCGGCTTTGGGACTGCTCATTAGTGCGCCCATGATCTTGTCGTGGATGAAGGGGTTGGGGTCTAGTTCGGCGGAGTTGTTGAGCGCGCCTTTGATGTGTTCGGGGTTGAGGATGAAGAGTAGTCTTTCGCCTGCGCCGTTGAGGAAGAAGGGCGAGCCGTCGCCGTATTCATTCCTGTCAATATGTCAGTTCTGCTACGATGTGACAGTTCAATACAGTTGTCCTTGGATACTTGCATGCATTTGGCCAGGAAGCCATGGGAATCATACGCCATCGAGAGAGCATGTCGAAGTCCTGGAATCCAATACGGCAGTGTTGGTGGTAAGACATTGTGCCCTTTGCCGTACTTGATGGATCTGAAGACGTACGACGACCATATCCTCGTGCAAACACATATCGTAGCGATAGCCACGACGCACTGCACGATGAGGCCACTCTCCAATACTGCAAACGCCGGCCCCAATTGATCGTCCACACGTGTCGCGTTGCTGAAATCCATATCGTTGCAAAGAGAGCCTTGGACACCTTTTCGATGATACCCCGCGGCTTACAATGTACATTGTCATCTTGATACAAGGAGAGTCCAAAGATAGCAAGGCGACATTTCAGCCAAGTTTGGAGTACGCATCCTTTGATATTTCCATAGCCTCCGCAACGGATGGACACCTAAAGGAAAAGGGCCTTTTCGGTTCATCATCATCAGCATGAGCCAAACATTAGGCCCTTTGCCCTGTGCTTGGTGACGTTATCCATGTGTACCTAGGTATCCTCGGTGCTGCGCAAACTTAGACCGATGCTATAGAAACATCGCAAAAACACTACATATTGAGATGTCTTGAATGCGCGAAGTATGTAAACTCCACGAAAATATTGTGTGTGGTGTTGTGCAGCTCACGTGTCACGATAAACCACAAAATCTCCGATCGTCGTCGATGCAGGGCGAGTCAGCGCTAACCCGAAGCGGCGTCTAATCTCTGTGGTATCGGCGGCCTCGTTGGCAGCCTTGGGAACGGTAGGCGCGATGGTTCAACTGGAGCATGTCCTGCATGGCTGTAGTGTACTCGAGCGACAGGTGAAACACCAACGGCGGCTGATTGCGTGCAGGTAGTGCATGAAGGCGCTATTTTTGGTGGCATGGTGTGCATCTGGCGTGCATAGTGCGGAGGTGGAGACGATTGGCTAGCGTGTCAGGGTCCCGGCTAGAACAACAGAGCTTCGTCAACTCGACAACCTCCGCGCGCCTCGCTGTCATCATCACGCTCCTTCGCGACCTAGATATCCTTCGCCGCTGGCTTCTCATCCATTGCATTTCTTTTCCCTGTTCTCTTTGCGCACGCTTGTGCTATCCCTCGAACCCCAATACCTTATCTAGCAGCTAGCTAGGACCGTCGTCAGCATGCCGGGAGTTCGTAAGTGCGATCCTCATTCATTTCCACTCTTCAAATCGAGTCCATCTCCGGATTCGATGCGTTTGCATCGTTGCAAACTTTGTCGTAGCAGTTGGCTACTTTCACGTCTGCTTGTATCTGCGCAAACTCCTACCCCCTCAAGCCATGATCGTCCACGTTAGCCCGTGTGATCACGAGCACACCTACAGGATCGCTATCTGACACATCCTTCCAATAGCACTCGACGCCATGGACCAGATGAAGAAGGCCTTCAAGGGTCTCTTCAGGGGCAAGAAGTCCAAGAAGGAAGAGCCAAAGCCCACGGCCACGGGTGAAGCTGCTGCTACGCCTGCGCAGACCAAGCCCACCGAGACTACGCCGGCTGCCCCAGCTCCCGCCACTGCGCCCGAGCCCGCAAAGACCGAGACGACACCCGCGGCTACCAGCGCCGAGCCAGCTGCGCCAGTGCCAGCGCCTGCTGCGCCTGCTGAGCCCGCTGCAGCTCCAGCTTCAGATCCAGCTCAGAGCGAGGTGAAGAAGGATGAAGCTGCGGCCCTGACTGAGGTCAAGAAGGCTACGTCCAGTAGGTTTACATCTCGTTCGCACTCCAGTCCACTACCGTACCGCGGGAACGAAGCCTGCGATGGCTCTAGGCGGCGACAGAAGGTCGACCTAGACAACCAGTGGAACGGCCCCATCTAGGTGTGGGACTCTTGCACCAGATGGATGGCTATGTGTTAGCATCAGCGCACTTCCACCAGCACGTTACGACTTCTGCGCGATACGACATTTGTCTTGACTAGTATTTCTTATATCTCTTCATCGCTCAAGACACCCAGACTAACGCATCATCTTCCAGCCCCCGAACCCGTTGGTGCCGTCGCGCCCGCTCCCCTGACTGCTGCTGAATCGCAGCCCGCTGCCACCGAGGCCCCCAAGGACACTGAGGCCAAGTTGACGGATACACCTGCACCTGCTGCCCCCGTAGAAATGCCCGCTGTGCCTACTAGCCAGCCCGCTGCCGGCATGAGCGCTACAAGCGGTCCCATGTTCGACGAGCCCAACTTTGGCGAGGACAAGGCTGCTGCGCCCGCTGCACCAGCTGCGGCACCAGCTCCCGTTGCGCAAGCTGAGGAGCCCGTCGCACCTGCACCAACCCCTGCGGTTGCGGATCCTACTCCCGCTGCTCCTGCGCCTGCACCTGTCGCTGAGCCTACCGCTACCACTGCTGCCCCAGCCGCCGCTGAGGAGAAGGCAGAGAAATAGGGAGCCTCCTTCTCGGCTTAAGAGAGGCCACTGGGCATCACCGCGCAGTTGATGAGATGCCGCACCAGAAATGGGTCAGAAAACTACAAAAACAATTCCTTTGAATACAGCGGGCGAAGGGCGAGTGTCGGGCCAGGGTTTTCAGCATTGTCTCTTTCCACTAATACTATACCCCATTGCTGTATCTTTCGACGGGTGTATCGAGCTGTTGGCGAGCTTGAACTTGAATCGAACAATTTCCATATGATGATTGCAGCTCCTCTTGTCTAGTGAAAAGCAAACGAATCATCGTCATTGCATTGCCCAAAGCTCCCAACTAGCGCGGGGCAAATAGCAGCCGCGCTACACGTCAAGGCAAGCCCCACCACCGACGTCAACCAAGGGACGCGATAATTCACACTAGAAAGCTACTACCTCTCCCGAACATTTCTACACGCCTGCGAAACGACTCATCCACGACGCGCGCGTGCCCAATAATTCTCACGTTCCCCCACCACCTGCCAACACAGCACAGCAATATTGCGGCCATGCCCCCCAAAAGCGGTTTCTCGCGCACGCGCAACGTCGACTACGATGACGACGACATCTACGACGACGACGACGACGATTACTACGAGGAAGAAGAGGCTGGCGGTGCAGCCGATGCAGGAGATGGCATGACAGAAGACGATAAAGAGCAGATGCGTGCAGGTACCATAAGAGTACGCAAGGCGCTGGGCGACAAAAGCGACTTTACGAGCGACGAGCAGATACAGGAGGCGCTTTGGCATTATTACTATGATGTTGGGAAGAGTGTTAGTTATTTGAAGAATAGGCTGGGGGTTGTGGAACCGAGGGAGGAGAAGCCGAAGCAAGAGAAGGAGAAGGTTAAGCCGGTGTCGAGGTTTGATCAGGCTGCTAGTGTGGCGGAGGAGAAGGCGCCGGTAAATGCAGGTAAGCACGCTCACTGCACTCCACTTTAGCTACGTAGACGCGTCTGCTGCCTCGCTGTCATCCTCCACCGCTGCCCCAATCTCGATGCGATGCCTACCAACGCTGTCACAGACTTCTTCTGGGATGTGCCCTGGGGCAATGTACCACCCGAGCGACTGGGCGTCATCATCGTCGATCCTCCACACTACAAAGGCGGTTTGCTGGGAGGCTCGTCGAAGCTGGCTGCTCTTGCGGCGAAGCGGAGAAAGGAACGAGAAGACGCGGAAGCTGCTGCCTCGAAAGCCAATAACGACGCGGATTCAGCAATCGCCATGCTTGACAAGCTTTCGGTGAAGAATCAGGATGGTCGTAATTCTTCCCCAGGTGGTACCGGCCCAGCTCGGCCTTCTCGATACCCTATCCGCAGACGGTCGCCATCGCCAGCACCAGAAGCCCCGAAAGAACCCGAGATAGAAGAGCCCCAAGCACCACAGCCTGCCGTAGTCGTTGAATCCCCAGCTCAACGCGCCACCGCCTCCATGTTCGCTTCCACCCTTTGCGGCTCTGACGAGTCATCGAAACTCCCCCAAGCACCGCTACAAGAGGTTCCACTACCCTTTGCTGCGTACAAATCGTATGATGGCACTGGTGCTTTTGCTGGGCCGAGTCCGGATGACATTGTGCGGGCAGCACAGGCAAAGGGCGCAGGTGGCGGACGTCACTAGATCTTGATACAACTTCTTTCTGAACATCTCTAAATCATACAGGAACAACACCAAAGAAGAAGAAGAAGCAGACGAACGGTGACCTGACCGAATCGGTCGAGAAGCTTACCGTGGCCGACGAACCGAGAGTGAAGAGCAAGAACCTGAACGTCATGGATGAGTTTGAGAAGAGCGCCTCGAAGCGGTTGGCGAACTTTGTAGTACTTGGTGAGTAAAATTTCATCGTCGATGCTATGAAAATCTCATGTTAACTTCCCCAGGCCACGTCGATCACGGCAAGAGTACGCTTATGGGCCGGTTGCTCTACGATCTCAAAGTCATCGACCAGCGGTCAATAGACAAGTTACGGAAAGAAGCAGAAACCATCGGCAAATCTTCGTTCGCGCTTGCTTGGGTCATGGACGAAACAAGCGAGGAGCGGAGTCGTGGTGTCACAGTTGACATTGCTACAAATTACTTCGAGACCGACAATACCAAATTCACCATCTTGGATGCGCCCGGACACAAAGACTTCATCCCCAACATGATATCAGGTGCATCACAAGCCGACTTTCCCGTCCTGGTCATCGATGCAAGTACGAACAGCTTCGAGTCTGGTCTTAAGGGACAGACCAAAGAGCACATCTTGATCGCGCGCAGCATGGGCATGCAACATATCATCGTGGCTGTGAACAAGATGGACACTGTTGGATGGTCAAAAACACGCTTCGACGACATATCAAAACGCATGACTGCTTTCCTCACCGAAGCCAGCTTCCTCGAAAAGCGGATAACCTTTATCCCGCTCGCGGGTCTGACAGGAGAGAACGTCGTGAAGAAGATCGAAAACTCCGCCGCTCACTGGTATACCGGCGAAACCCTGCTAGAAGCCCTCGAGCGCATCGACCTCCCACCCCGAAACTTCACGAAACCCCTCCGCCTCTCCGTCGCCGATGTCTTCCGCGGCGACATTCGCTCCCCACTCAGCATATCAGGCCGCATCGACGCCGGCACCCTGCAAGTAGGCGACGTCATCCTCGCCCTCCCCGCCAACGAAACCGCCACCATCAAGTCAATCGAAGTACAAGATGCCCCCGTCGACTGGGCCGTATGCGGCCAAATCCCCACCCTCCACCTCACAGACATCGACCCCGTCCACCTCCGCCAAGGCGACATCGTCTGCGCGCGCAGCGACCCCGTCAAACTCGTCAAAGCATTCACATCCAAGCTCCTCGCTTTCGAACACGTGCTACCGATGCCTGTGGAGGTGTTTCGGAGTACCCTGAATTCTCCAGCGGGGATCAGGACGCTGAGTGCTAAGCTGAATAAGTTCACGGGTGAGGTTGTGAAGAAGAAGCCTAGAATTGTTAAGCCGGGGGAGGTGGCGAGGGTGGTGGTGCAGTTGGAGAGGGAGTTGCCGGTGGAGGAGGGGATGAGGGTTGTGCTTAGGGAGAGGGGGAGGACGGTGGGGGCGGGGTTGATGGAGAATGTTGCGTAGACGTAGATGTTGTGTGGGTGTTGGAGGTGGAGAAGGGATTGCACGGCAGCTGTTGCAGTCTTGGAGCAGTCGGGAATGGAGGGCATATGGTATCCTACAAAGACTATGTTGTAATCCTACGGAACACAAATTCGATCACCAAACAGCCCAGTGGATGTCTTTCCCATCGCTGAGACATCTTCTCTCCCCTTCAAGCATATGAAAGTACCTGTTCACTCGCCCGGTGGGCAAGCGTGACTTTGGCATGTGGCATGCAGCGGTGGCGTGTGCTCTTCCTGGTGCGAAACTACCATCGGGAAGCCGCGAACCTTGGAACCTTTCGCTGACACGGTGTTTAGCCCTGCTGTCAGCTTTCCTGATCATTCACCAAGACTATTGAGGATCACTCTTCTACAACTCCGCATAACGAGGCGCCCTCATCACCACCTACTGGAAAGACGCGTTACATGCGTCTCATCAGACGTCGCTTCCAGTTTGAGCAGCTTCTCGGAGTGAGCGAGGCTGCTCGCTGCCACATTCATCGCTCGTACCTGCCTCCTGTCTAGTTGCTAACCCAACACGGCCATTGGTCTGCCTCAACGCTTCGCAATCGTCCGATACCTACGTCAACGCTTGGTCATAGCGGTCGTGGAGCTAGTCTGTGGCCCCGGGGCTGTCTTTCCTCTGCGGCCTGGTTCTGACTCTGCTCTTCACTTCCTTCGCAGTTTTCACATCCACCACCTCGACCTGTTTCAAATCAATCATCACCTCTTTCACATCTGTCACATCTTTCACATCCATCACCTCGACCTGTTTCAAATCAATCACATCCCTCACAACTGTACAACTACGCAATGCCACCTCGCAAGAACGAAGGCACCAAGGGCAAGGGTACCAAGCGTGCGAAGATCACACACCCTCCAGCATCGGATGCTGGCGAGTCCTCACGAACCTATGACCAGGACTCCCAACCTGTATCGTAAGCACAAACCCACATCCACGTTCAATACTCTCTAACAAATCCTAGACATCGTACACGAGGAAAGAGGAACCGACCCATCATCCCAGACTCTGATGAGGAGCCGGCCACTGAGTACGAGACAGAAGACGGAAGCCCCGTTCCATCGCAGTCTCAAATCAACTCGGATTTGAACGACAACGTCACCGTGCAGCCGCCCGGGCTGTTGCTATCAGTTTTCAGCGAGCCGGCCTCTGCAACTTCACATTTCAGCGAGCCGGTCTCTGCATCTTTACCTTTCAGCGAGTTGGTCTCTGCATCTGGATATCGCCCACCTGCTTACGAAGAACACCTCACGATATCGACCCAGCTCTGTCAAGAGCTCCCTTCCAAGCTCGATGAAGCGAACTACGTCCCGCTTAGTGACATATTGGAGAAGTTTGAATCCATCGTTCCTACGCTTACTGGAAGACATCTTCACTGCAAGACTGCGCCGATCCGCAAGATTCAAGTATTTGGGGAACTGAAACGCATCCATGGAATAATGCAGCTACATACTGATGCTCACATCGTCAAACTGGAGGCGTTCCTTGCTCGAATACGCGTTGAGGAAAAGAAGCTCTGGGAGAGTTACTGGGGTTGACGTGGATGATTGCCGAGCTGGAAAACGGGGATGAATGGAAACGCTGGTGTTATCAAATCATACATGTTCATCACGGTCCAGATGGGTATCGCAGTCTATATGATTATCAAACTCAACATCAAGGCATCTGGTGACATGATCTTCTATCATCTCTACCGTCTCGGCATCAATACAAGAAAGCTACTCATCCAATTTGATCGACGTCTTTTGCCGTGCACTGATGCTTGTGAGGGCTAGATAACTAACTTATCGAAACATGAGGAGGGGGTAAAGAGATGTTGGGTCATTCTCGACTTTTGAAGCTCATCTCGTAGTTACATATGCCCACCTCGCCGATACTCCACGGTATCATACATGATCTTGCACCCTACAGTAAAACCTGTGGGCAACGCGCGACCCATATGAAGTCGATGTAGTTGTCAAGATTACTATCATTTCCAAGACTGATCATGCACTCGGGTTCGCACTGATGAACGCAAACAACCTCCCATCCCAACCCCAGGCCGCGAAAGCTTGTGCTGGTCGTGCCATCAGCCCTGCGACATTTGTTACAATGCTAGTATTTGTGCTAGCTTTTGTTATCACTCACCAAAGCTATTGGCGTCGACGGTTTTCTGTTAGGGTATACTGAACTGGTCTAGAGTCTACATCGACGTTGTATCAACTGCTTTGCATACTTTTAGGTTATGGTAGGCTGCAGGCCTATTCGGAATTTTCCTAGATTGACGTGTGCGGATAGGTCGCGCATTGTATCCTACAATACTACGTCGTAGCCTCGCGAAACACAAAGCTGATCCATGACGGAATCACCCAGTGAATGACTTTCTCATCGATGAGACAACTTCTCTCTCCTTCTAGTACATGACCGCATCTTCAACCCAGTACTGCCTCCTTCCCGCCGTGGATTCACTACACACATTCTTCATTCACAGTGGCGCAGGTACATACATTCACACGACACATTGATCTAGCACTCTGCCGTATGTTCTCCGACACCACACGCCAGCCCAGCATATCGTTCATCAACACCATGGTCTCACTCGCACTGTCTCGTCACGACCGGCGATGGCTTCGGGTGTATAAAAACGTCCCCAGTATAGCTCCTGGTCGAAGGTATCACATCAACAGCTCGCACACACACACTTTAAAGACCAATACAGTCTTCATTCCACCTATTCCAACAAACACATCAACCAAATCCCGATCTCAGTAACCTAACATGCCATTCGGATCCTTCTTCGGCGGCGACAACCCTTTTAGCTCCGGCAGTTCTTCACGCCGTGACGCGTATGAGTTTTCTAGCCGCGATCCCTACGGCTATGGCGCATCCAGCTCTAGTAGAATGACTGAGCCTTTCTCCCAACCTTATGGAGACTACACTAGCCAGCCCCGTCGTGAGACAACCGGTAGTTCTAGACTCAGCCGCGCTGCGTCCCAGCGCGATCCATACGATAGTCGGTATCAGTACCGCGACCTCAGCCCTATGCGCGCTTCTGAGCGCCCGCGTGCGTACACTAACAAACACGCGTATGATGACCATCGCTCAGTCAGCCCTCTAGGCTCCTCTCGTTTCGAACAACCATCCACCACGTCCCGTCTCCTCGCCAGCATGGGTAGACCCAGCACTTCCTCTTCCTCCTCCCGCACTTCCTCCTCATACGCCACCCCCTCCTATGCCTCTAGCTTCCGCGAACCCCAACAGACTTCCTTTAGCATCGATCGCGGATACGAGCGTCCCTCGACGTCTGGCGGTTACGGTGGTGGCGGTTTGTATCGTAGTAGCGCGGTGCGTGGTAGCGAGGGCCGCGAGGCGCCACGTCGTATGGGTAGCGATGGTGAGTATGGAGCGCATCTGGGGACTCAGCGTCGGCCGCAGATGGGGTCGAACTTTAGCAATGGCGGGTTTGGTTGGATGAACTGGTAGGGATGATGAGCGTGAAGGCTGTTGACGCGAAATCCTCGTAGGACCTGGTCCTTCTTTTTTCCTTAGTTTTCCATGTCTTGCGTAGAGTGTAGGTAAGTTGGGCTTGTATAAGCTGCTTCGTACTTTATCGCCACGTTGCTTTTTAGTTCTGTGATCAGATAGTCAGCTATATGCAGTCAAAGTATCATTAGTTAAACGTAAACCTCGCATCTTGAATTCGTGTGAATCTTGTGAACGTGTCCGTCAAATGCATCGCGGTCTATTATAATGTATACAACAAGCCCTCTCAGTCCCCTCTACATAAAAATGTCTATGTGAACGTTACTCCGTAAAACTCTTCAACATCTTCCTCCCCCTCCCTTCACTTTCACTCGCACTCCCACTAACACCTCCAGCCGTCGTGGCATCCTCATCTCTATACTTGTCCTCCTGTCCATCCTCCGTAATGAGGTCATGAGGCAAATTGATCGCCCGATCAAGCGCATAAGGCAGACCGCGATGTCTACCACGCAGCATCATGAAGCAAATCACCACTTTGCCAAACGTGTTGAAGTGGCCAGACAGCGACGTGAGATTCGACGGGTGACCAAGCGAAAGACCGACGTTACCGTACGCAGATACGACTTCGAAGAAGATGGCGAAGACGTTGAAAGCCTGTTCATATCGTTAGTATACCGTTCCCAACTAAGAAAACCCGCTTCGGGGATTTGATCAACTTACATAGTCCTCCCGACTCATAATCCTATCACTCTCCGCAATGCAAATCATGAAAACCCCCAGGAAGATATACCACAAATCGAAACTAAGCTGGTTCCGCATATGGCTGATCAGATACGTCTTCCCCCCCTTCTGCTCATCGAGATTCTCATCTCCAGCGTAGAGCCCCACGGATTTCTCCTCGTAGCTCTCGCTCATGCGTATGCTGATGGCGATGGGGTATATGGAGATGTACATCATGACTAGCAGACTGAACTGAACAGCCGGGTTGACGGCCGCGAGGTTAAAAGTCGCGGTACCGGTGTGGCGCGAGGACGCGGATTGGAAGATGGCGGCGAGGATGCGGGGACCGACTGGTAGGCTGTTTACTTCGGGGTTATCGAGATCGAGGACGACGATGAGGAGCGTGTCGATGAAGTTTAGGGCGAAAAGGATGGAGGCGAGGATCCAGGTGGCGGTGCTGGGGAAAAGGAGGGTGTAGCATCGTCGTGGGTGGTCGAGGAGGAAGCGCAGGGATTCTTTGAGGGAAGAAGCGGCGGGTGCGATTTTGTAGACGGACCAGATGAGTAGGCGTAGGAAGACGGGGTAGAATGTGTTGCCGGCGAAGGCGAGGAAGGACATTACTAGCATGGGCCAGGTGGCGTCGCGGAAGGTGACCATGCTGTCGGGTGTGAGGGTTAGGCCGAGGTTGTCGACCATGGTTTGGGCGGAGTAGAACGCCCTGGAAGATGTTAGAGATAGCGATGCGGTAGGGGAGGAGGTGGAGCATACCACCACGTCTTATCTTGACCCTGTGATGCGAGGTAGTCTTGATACTTGGCTGGTGCGGTGTGGATCCATGGGAGTAAGCAAACGACTCCAAGCGTGTGTAGGCCGACGAAGTATCCTGGAATAATAGTCAGCATGAGCGAGCCAAATACATCGCTCTCGATACATACCAATAGTAACCTTGAGCAAGACTTGCAGTGCGCGGTACTCAACACCCCCCAACTCTTCCCGGGTCATGGAGCTCAGGTCGATGGTGGGCGTCCTGCGTGCCGGCTTGTCTTCGCTACGACGGGCGCCGCTTGCGGTACTTCCAAGGACGAAGATAGATGATACAGCGCGGTCTACGGAGGTAGCCTTGCTCATGGTACGCGTGTTCATACTTCTTGTCTCTGACCCCAGGCGACGCAGTGGATTGCTCGACTCTGCGACAGGCTTGATGCGGTCTTCATCTTCGTCTTCGTCTTCGTCTATAGCGATAACGTTAGGCATGTTCTCACGGAAGTCCAACTGGCGAGCTTACCATCTGACATCGAAGTGATGCGTTCGCCATTATCACGTTCTCGCGGACCAGGGACATACAACGCGCCTTTTTCGTTGACATGAGGTCGAGGATCTGGGGCGAATGTGATGCGAGGAGCAGGAGCGGACGGTTGGTCGTTTGACTCATCTGCAGTGGCAACAGGCTGCTTTTCCGAGACTGTGGTCTCGCCGGTGAGACCCTCCTCGATCTTTCGTGTATCGGCGGTATTGTCGATTGTTTGAGCCCGACTCATAGACAGCTGCAAGCTTTTGGGTCTACTGTGTGCCGCCGCTATTGAGGGTTAGCTTCAGCTGCAGGCTTAGAGCGACATCTAACATACTAATGCCCTTGAGCTTCTGCTTGAACCAGCGTAGTCGCACAACGACGACGAGTACGTTGATGAAGCCCAGATTTGTAACGATAGGCGTGATGTAAACAAAGATCTGCTGATATGTCTTGAGAGCCTTGACATCAACACTAACGCACTGTCAGCACGGCACCCACCCCAGTACATCAACCCAAACATACGGGTTCAAGCCAGATTCAGTCGACGCGCTGACACCAAAGTAGTACGCATCGATAGCCGAAAGATTGCCATAGGGATAGATGATGATCAGGGCCAGAATCCCGAAACTGAGAATGTATGCATCTACACCCCATTAGCCACGCCGTTCCCGGATTAGACGGAACCGTCTGCAACTTACAATGCAGCGTAATGAAGTTGATTGGCGGCTTCCACATATTGCCTTTGTCGCTATGCGCTCAATCCGCAGTGACACACTGAGGGATTATCGCTACGTGCAGCAACGCAACGAAAGCGCAAGGGCGAAGTAAGCGAAAGGAAGAAAATAACTCTTTCGTGTTCAAGGTCCAGAGTACAGAAAGCTACCAGTGTATTGGGAATGGAATAAGAAGGAGAAGAAGAGGAATGCAGAATCACCCAGAAAACACGTGAGCTACAGCGCAATACGGCCTGGGTACAAAGGCCCAGCGAAATAATTGTATGAGGGATTTATCTCGCGATCAGCGGTGTTGCTCAGCCACTGCCATCATGGGCCTGGTTTTGCCTATTGCGGCGACGAAACCGCACGTGAAAGTAGAATGGGCTACATTTTACTTGCTTCGCCGGCGTGCGCCAAGGGGGGGATAATTCGCGCATTGTGATGATGTCGTGGTTGTGGGAAGGCGGTGCTTTGCCTACAAGCTTCTGGCTGCGGACTAGCGCAGACCCCTCCCGCTGCGTGAAAGCTTGTTATTGGTTGGTTGATTTACGTGTATGCAGGTGCGCGATCGCTTGCACGGTGGGGGTGTTATTTCACATGGTATACTCGTGGGCTTTGCTGGTCGTGATGCAGGCGTTGTCGCGCGTAGCTCGCGATGGCTTGCGGAACGTGTGGGATGACTGCTTGGTGACGGCCTTGAGGGTGTCCACGGCAGTTCAAATGACCGCAAAAGGCCCACGACGTGCGGTGCTAATGCATTCCATTCAGCCGTAGCCATGTCGTCCAAGGCGAGTCCAGGAACGGAAGACTTTACGTTTAGAATCCTCACCCTTTTCTGATTATTCGCGCAACACGAGACAGGATTTCCTGGCTACGCGCGCTTGATTAAGCTTACACCGCCCAGGTGGATACGGTGATGGGCTTCTTACTTCCATTCCGTCGCATTCGACGCAAGTACATGTTCGCGTTCGCATTCACAGAAGCCTCGAGACACAGTCCTAGGAGCTCACCATGCGGAGCGGTAGGATTTGGATGATGAGTTCCGATTTTGATTCGACTCTGATGAAGTGGCGTGAAGCCGCTCGTAGCAACAAAGCGCACACAAACTATCATGAGGAGTGTCTGAAATTACTATGCTAACACAACCAGAACCCCAGAATACGTCGCAAAGTACCGTGTCTTGGTAAAGACCCCACTACTCCAAACAATGCCGCTAAAATTCACAAGAAATGTCGTGCAATCGTCTACCCAACAACCCGCACCCCCAAAAGCGCGACAAGAACCATAACAATAGCCGCGACACCCAGCGCCTGCGACATCTCCATCTTCTTCCCCACCTTCGCCGTCATCGAGACCGACTGCTGGAGAACAGGCGCAACAACAACAGGAACCTCCACAGCCTGCTCCACCTTCTGCTTCATCGCCTGCACCTTCTTTCCACCTTTCTTTCCGCGCCTCCTGTTCTTCTTCTTTTGCGCCTGCCGAGCTTGTGGGGCCTCGTCCTCACTATCAACCTCGTTATTGTCATCAGTGTCAACAGCAACAGGAGTAGAAGCGGTGTCATCGCCATCACCGGTATCGTCAGCGGCCAGCACGTCCCACATATTCGACGACACAACAGCCTGGTCTTGTTTGCGGTTCTCGTTACGCGGCTGGTGAGTCTTTTTGGTGGGCGCGGGAGACGGCGGAACGGTGTGAGTTTGCTGTGGTGGCGATGACGGCGGCGATGGAGGAGCGCTCACGAAGACCTGTACGGGCGTGTTCTTCGTTGATGTCGCTGGCTGAACGGGCGAGAGGGGAGGCATGTTGTAGAAGGCAGCTACGTCAGACTTGTGGGCTGCTTCTTCGAGTGACCGCGATGACGAGGGCGAATTCGAAACCATAGCACCAAAGTCCCTGACAACAACAGGAGCCTCAGGAAGCACACCAACCCCAGGCGCCGACATAACCTCAGACGGCTCAGAACTGGCCAACGAATCGGGAGCCGGGAGATTCTCAGTCTGTTCCGTAGGAGCGGCGGCAGTATCCTTACTGAACGTCGCCGCATACGTGACCTCAGCCCTTGTAGACTCGGCGGCAGCCCTGGCCTTCTCCGTGTACATCTTCAGGGGGATGATGAGCCCCTCGTTCTCGCTCTCCTCCTCTTCTTCTTCTTCTTCTTCTTCTTCTTCTTCGTCCTCTTTTTCTTCATCGTCCTGCTCATCGCTCATGAGAAGGTTATACGGATTCGACTTCAACGAAGCCGGGATGGTTGGAGGGGACGAGGCAGGAGTTGCCAGGGACACGCGAGAGGCTTGTGAGACGGGGGAGGTGGGAGAGGTGGGAGTGGCGGGTGACTTTGAGCCACTGGAGACAGACTCGGATGGAGTCACGGGTTTGGCTTGGGGTTTCGAGCCGGTGGTAGCGGCGAGGGGAAAAGCGAAAGGTGCGCCCCAATCCTGATCCCATTCTTTTGCCAATTGTGACAGGGGGATTATCGGGCTTCTGCTCCTCGTGCTAGTCGCAGTGGTGCCCGCAGTCGCAGTCCTCGCGCGTCTATCTCCGGAGACAATCGCAACAGGCACGTGATCCGCCCTTCCCGCACCCCCAACTCCAGCCTCAGGCGTCCTCTCTTCCTTCCCAAAGACTCTCTCGACCGGCACCACAACCCCCTGTTCCCCATTCATCTCCTCAGCTTCGCCATCTGTCTTCGTCGCATCAGCCGCCCCAGGCTCCTCGTACTTCCCAGGCCAAGTCCCATTCTCCCTATCCTGCGCCATCAGCCGCGCGATAATCTCCTGGTTCTCACCCGCATCAGAAATGCAACGCAACTTCGCCATGACCATGAGCTCGAACGAGTTCTTGGTCTCGTAGTGGGCGAGGCTAGCTGCGTGGGAGAAGGGGGGAGAAGCCGCAGGGGGAGGAGACATTGTGGGATGGTGATGTTGTGGTAAGTATTGCGTATTGTCGTCGGGAATTTTGACTTGAAATTGGGAGAATATTCAAGCTTGGGTGTTGGTCGCGGTAAGTTGAGAGTGAGAGGCGGGTTGAGTAGTCAGGAGGGAGAAAGGGTGTGCAAGGAATTTAAAGTGAGAGAGCGACTTTGCGACTGTGGGCGGTGCAGGGGCGCGTGCATTGAACTCCAAGGTGAAAATTGATCCAGGTTGAATATTGCGCTTTGTGTATAGGTGCGATAGCGAGTGGAGAAGTGGAGGCAGATTACCAGTACCAAAGTCTATGTCTACCGGTGGGCGGTTGAGCATTCGCGTAATTGTCATTCACGGCCAGTGATCTGGCCACGTACCCCACGAGCGTAAGGGTAGATCCGGGCTTTCACTAGACATGCAGTGGGAACTGTACTTATCCCATATTGTTGGGTGCTATATTGTGTGGTAATTTTGAATATGGAGCACAGGGGGATTTGGTAGATGGACGGCCACTGTCAGGGCTGGTGGAGACATAGGCACCAATGATGTCGTTTGCGTTGCTATCAAAGAAATGTAGCACACAGGGGGTATCATAAAGAGACAAACGACAAAAAGCGTAACTTGATAAAACGCCTCTTCTCGCCAAGCGGGAAAGGGGCAGGATCGTGTGTGGAGCAGAGGTGGATCAAAGCATCCAAGTAACCCGCACTTACGGCAATACTGGTATCTTCGTAATCCACTCCTCGACCTCCCAGCCGTTATCTTGATATAACTTCTGGAAGTCTGACCGAAACTGTGCTGCTTTTGTGACAATCTCTGCGACGCTGCGATCGCGCAAATGGCCGCTAAGTGAATGAGATGAGTCGGGCCGGCAATACGTTGTGAATATCTTCTCGAAGACTTGAGGACCTAGAGTACATGTCAGTGCGATGACGATAAGCTGTTAACAATGACTTCCAACGTACCAGCAAGATGTCTCAGACCCTCAAGCAGAGCAGTCTCTTCCTGGTCGGTCCACTCTGGCTTGTTGCTCAATGCCGATGCTTGACGATGCAGTGGAGCTGAGCGAGGTGTGAAAACTGGCAATCGCTCGAAGATGACGCCGTTGGCGTCTCTCTCCTCCAGGTCTTCGAGTCTTGTGATAGCCAGCTTGCTTCTTCTCCGCGCATCGGGCTCGCATGTCAAGCGTACAATGTGTAGAGCCTGCCAACGTTTCCACCGCTGCGTTCGTGCTTCCTCAAGTTCGGCTTTGCGGCTCTCCTCCTCTTCTCTTTCTTGCATCCTACGCTCGAAGTCTTCTTGGATCTTGCGATGTTCCTCCCTGGCCTTGAGTCTACTAAGATGTCCGCGATACATCTTGGCAACCTGTCGAAGATGAGCAATGAGACCAATATCAACATCCTTGATGATTCGATCGCCCTTGGAACGTTGAGGCACTGAAACATTCCACTCAGCGATGCGGTCTTTAAAAGACAGCATCTGGTTGATCAGGGGTGATAGAATCTTCATAGCTTCCAAAGACTCGGTTACGTCACCGCTATTGTCCTGTAGCCACGTATACAATGCTTCGAGGTACTCTGTGAGAGCCCGGAAGACATGGCGATAAGCATCTCGTTTGAAGGCGCGCTGGTCCTTCTTTTCGACATCGATACTGATCTGTCCGAGCGCTCCTCGTAAATCGTCGGCTTCATCGACGACAGTGTCCATGGAAAGGTCACCTTCCTGAAGATGAGCTCTGTATGTCTTGCATGCGCGTCTGATGGTGGTAGCCAGCTTGGTCCGGCACTTTCCTGGCCGTACCTCTAGGTTGAGGAATTCAAAGACGGCGTCGATGCTCCCAGGCCTTCCTGCAGCGCGCGTTATGTTATCAGCTTCCTCAGCGACGCTACTAGCGTCTTCGTCTGAGTCGTCCCCAAACGCGTCAATAACAGGCGCGTGCTCAGTCTCTGGAACACCAGCAACCTCCGGCGCTTGCTTGGGCGGCTCTGCGTGCTTTTGCAATCCACTCCCATTAGCGGGTAGCTGCTGGCTAGACTCAGTAGTGCCGTTGTTACGGTTCTTCCGAGGCTTCAGTTTTCGTGCAGGGGGATTTATGGATTTTAGGAGTTCTAGGAGCTCCTTTTCTCTTGCCTTTGCCCAATCGACTTCGGCGGCTTCTCGCGTGCTTTGAACATCGTCATGTCCGGTCGCAGTCGCCACATCCTGCTGTGGCGAGCTGCGCCGGACCGGTATGCGTACTTGTGGGTGACTCTTTCTCGATGCGCTCGATTCGCCAGTCGTCCGCCTTTGTTTCCTCGGAATCTTGGAGGGCTGTTCTTCGCTGTGATCCGACTCCGACTTCCGTTTCGACGTTCCTCGTGTACTGCTATTGTCCTCCTGCGCACCAGCAAGTTCTCCATCTAGGCTTGTCGTACCAGTAGGATCGACCACAATGTCATCGCGTATATCCGGGGTGGCTTTAGATGGGGTGTGTTCCGGCGGTGCGAGCTCCGGCGGCGAGGAACGTAACTCGGGTTCTGCTACTGCCAGATCCTCCACTCGTTCTTCTTTATCCACTTGTGGCCCAGCGTCATGGTGCACCGGGAGCTCTGACGAAGGCGCGGGGACGTCACTTCGCTCCTCGACTACCTCCACAGTGGCCTGCACCTTCTTCTTGGCTGGCTTCTTTTTCTCCTTCTTCTTTCTATTGATCTTCAACGGCTTGTGATTGACTTTCTCTGGCAACGCGTATCGACCCTTCTCGGGGCTCAACTCAATCTCGTATGGGTCACCTCGTATCGCGAGGTTCTGTCTGGCTCCATCGGGGAGTATGCTGACTCGTTTGAGCTTTCCAGGACGCGCTGCATTGAGGAGGTTGGCGCCGAGGACTGCGGACGATGAGGGCGGGTTTGCGCTTGGAGAGTTGGACTCGGTGAGGAGCTGTTGGGTTGCAGCATTGTCGTCTGAGGAGGGCGAGGAAGGCTTTGGAGCTGTACTATGAGTGTCAGCTTATATAAGCTTGGATGGAAGCTGGTGGGCATGTTGGAGAGCTTCGCGCGTCTACCCGCCAGCTCGACGGCAGCTGCGACACCACGTACCTGCCTGCTTGGGCGCATCCTTAAGCCGCGCCATATAGTGAGCGTCAATAATATTAATGCATCCGTGCTAACGAAGGTATCCGAGCGATGACGGCGATGTGGGGGGAGAGTGAAGTCATCCCCGCGGCCAAAAGCATCCAACGCTGTCAAGGCGCGAAAGAGTGGGCCCATCCCCGAAACACGCTATCACATGAGATCGTCCCTGGCCACTAACCCCCAAACAACCACGACACCACGCACCCCGCCATGTCATCGAATCCATCCAAAGCACCCGTACTGGAAGTACTGAGTAGAGATGCATCGCACAGTTTCCAAGTCCCCGCGAAACGCATCCACGATGGCGACGACGTCACTTTCTTCTTGGCAAGCAGGGCCTATGCCGATATCATGACTTTCATCTTCCAGCTCAACACGGCCATGATACCACGGAAGATCAAGAGCGAAGATAAGAACAGCACAGAAACGGCGAAAGAGTGGAAGTTGCATGACCCGGATGTGCCCCATCCACCCGCTGTGCAAAGCCTCGCCAAGCTTATCTCTAGCCTGACTTCCATCATCGATGAAGCGCCACCAGATCCCGGACCGCGTCGTTTCGGAAACGTAAGCTTCAGGACGTGGTACGATATCGTCAGAGAACGAGTCCCTGGACTGTTGGACCAGTATCTGCCGGAAGAAGTACTGTCCTTCAAATCCTCATCCGACGTCTCAGCCAAAACCGAGTTGGAAGCGTATCTTATCGGCAGTTTTGGAAGCTCTCAGCGCCTAGACTACGGTTCAGGTCATGAACTGAGCTTCCTCGCTTTTCTCGGCTGTCTCTGGAAACTCGGAGCTTTTCCCGCGTCGCAGGATGGCGAGCAAGAACGCGGCATTGTACTTGGGGTCATCGAACCGTACCTCGAATTGATTCGCCGACTCATCTTGACATACACCCTTGAACCTGCCGGGTCGCATGGTGTATGGGGACTAGACGATCATTCTTTCGTACCCTACATATTTGGTAGCGCGCAACTCTCACCAGCCATCAACACACCAGCAGACGTGGCAGCAGAAGGCTCATTGCCATCCGCTCCCCACCCGGGCGACGTGGCGAAGGCTCCCGCAGTCGCCCGCGAGCGAAACCGTAATATGTACTTCAGCGCTATCGGCTTCATATACGACGTCAAGAAAGGTCCTTTCTGGGAACACAGTAATATCCTCTACGACGTCTCTGGCGTGAAAGCGGGATGGGCAAAGATAAACAAGGTGAGTAACAAGTTATCCCAACCACGTGCATCGACTAATCCCGATCTAGGGAATGATCAAGATGTACAACGCAGAAGTCCTCTCGAAATTTCCTGTCGTCCAGCACTTTCCCTTCGGCTCACTCTTCTCCTTCTCTGCCGATCCGAACGCCAAGGCCATACAAGCAAGCGTCCACACAGCCAGTCAGCCAAAGTCAAGTACACCATCTAACACGGCACCAACTGCAAGACCGCAGCCCGCGTTAAGAGATCCGATGGCTGAGCCAGCGACTGGCATGCCAATTAGAAGCATGCCTGGCGCTACGGTTGGGACCGCGGCACCATGGGCTAGTGCTGGTACTACAAGGCCGGGTGGTGGCATGCCAGCTGCGACTGCTGCGCCCTGGGCTACTGCCAGAGGTGCAGATGCAGGTGTACCCGGTGGTCCGAACCAGCCTACTAAAGCGCCTTGGGCAAGTAGGACACCTGCACCGCCGCCGCCAGGAAGTGGTACTGCAGCACCCTGGGCAAAAGGGAATGCTGGAAATGGGCCAAGTGCACAAGAGGGCACGAAGGCGCCTTGGGCGAAGAAGAGATGAGGTGCAATGGGTAATGAAGGTACGTAGAGGAATGATACACGTCTTGTCAACGATTATACCCGGCCAAGGCTCGATTGCATCTCATCTAGCGATACAAAGCCATCAACATAAATCTACCTAGCCAGTGCCGCAAGCGCACAAGGAATTAACGTTATGAACGTTGCTTGCTCCCTCCACCGTCCTTCTCCTTACTACCCCTCTCTCTACTACTCCTCTCCTTACTACCCTTCTCAGCTCCATCCCCTCCATGCTTCTCCCTTCCCTCTTCACCGTCACCATTCCCATCAGCATCCCCGTCCTTCCCTCCTTCCCCTTCACCCCCATCACCATCCCCATCCCCACCCCCCTCCTCCTCCCTCTTCCTCTTATTATCCAAATCAAACTGCAACCTCGTCCGATTCAACATGAGCTCCGCCACCCTCTCTCTCTGCACATACACAGTAACCGCAAGATCAAACAACGCCATCTCCTGCTCTTGTGTGTATTCACCTTCGCCCACACCGAGGCTCTCGTGGGGTTCGGGGATTTCATCCGCGCCGACGAAGGAGTCGGAAGGGGAGGGAGGGGAAGGTGGCGGGTGTGGGGGATCTGAACGGGGTCGTTTGGATGGTTTGGAGGGTTTGGGACTGCGGCTGCGGCTGCGGCGTTTTTTGTGGTGATGGTGTGGACTGGGGCGACGGTCTCGACGATCTCGACTACGCCGGCGATCTTTACCACGGCCATGTGAAGAGCTGCGACGACGCTGTTTACTTCGCTTTCGCTCTGGACTTCTTTCCCGCCCTCGACTACGCTGCCGGTCTGCGCCACGGCTCCGCTCTCGACTCTTTCTCACCCCTCTACTCCTCACCCCCTCCTCCCTCCTCACCTGCCCAGAAGGTGGTGGAATTTGTTCACGCGGCCGTTGCGACACCGCTGGGGGCCGTCGCGATGAAGCGCGGTCAAGCCTTGCAGAACGTCCCCGTGGCTTTTCCACACGATCTCCTTCTCCTCTGTACCTATCATCCCTCTTCACCAACGACCTCGACCGACTCCTACTCCTACTCCGACTCCTACTCCTACTCCTACTCCGACTGCGACTCCCATCCCCCGATCTAGGAGAAACATCACAACTCCCCCCCATCCCCATCGTCCGGTGTCTCCTCGCCATCCTCTCCAATTCCCCGCCAGTAAGACCCCTCCGCCTCCTCCTCTCTTCAGACCGCGTGGTACGGCGGGGCGGCTGGTAGTGGTCACAGTCTTTCCCATAGCCTTTCCCATAGCCTTTCCCCGGGGGGTCATCTTGTCCTAGCCCCCGACGTGCACCAGGACCCCTTGGCCCTTCACTCAAGGAAATGTATGAGATGAGAGATAGTTCGTCGTCGTCTTGCTGCGGAGAGTAGTAGCCTGATCCTGAGCGGAACTCGCGGTCTAGTGTGTGCAGACCGGAACTGAAGGATATTGGGTTGGCTTTTGTGCCTGGTGTTGGTGTTGGTGTTGGTGTGTCGTGATGTGCGCCAGACATTCTTTTTTTGTGGTAAGCGGATGGTTCTTGACGTGGCTTTGATATGTTTTCTCTGGGTGGTGCCATGATATCTCGGCGTTCTTTGGACGGCTTGTCTCTTGGAAGGGGAGGTGCGTCGCGCAACGACTTTGATACCATTGGTTTTCCGGTTGTCATTGATAGTGGCACAGGCTCTGCGTGACGCGTGGAGCGAGGCGGGATGCCAGTTGGATTCGATGGCGTTGCAGTTGCGATACGCGCTTTTACTTCTTCGATCTCTTTCTTGTCGGCCATGGTGAAGTGCTTGGTTAGCATCGCTGGGTCTAGTTCTCTTGGTCTGCGCTCTTTGGAACGCCTTGCTTCATCGTTCTCATCCACCCGGGATCGTTTTATGAGAGGCTCTCCGAGTATTTCACCGCCCCCGAATGGTCTTTTCCCGGTTTTCGATGGCGGTGGGGGTTGTGCACTGGTTGGCTGTGTTTTATCCACTGGTTTGTCTGACGAGGGAGTAACACGGAAACCGCTCTTCTCCTGGTGCGAGAATCCTGCAAGGGGGGATTGTTCGTCTGCCATGATGAGTGCAAGATGAGGTGATAATCGTTGCTATACAGAAAGATTTAGATGCGCTATACGAGAAGCATGCTCTTGCGACGAACAAGATGCTCGCTCACTTGCTATGTATGTTGAAGTCTTTGTTCACTATGCGTCTTTGGCGGACAATCACCCTCCTTCTTTGCTCCTTTCTTCCATCGACTATCATACTGAGGATAACAAAGACTCGATCGATCTCAAAGCATCACAACAATCCGCGGTGGAGTACAAAGCCGTTCGCCAATGCTGTTGCGAATATGTGGAATGCTGCAGATTCGCTTCTTGAGCGTATCGTCGAAGCTATATGTGACCCTGCCTATTGGGTGTCACGTGACTGTTAATATCATCTTCGCGATACGGAAGATGCAGTGAGGTCGCTAGGAGTCGTGTGTGAGTGCGGCGGAGCTGGCGTACTCAATATGTAGCCTACACGCAACTACTCATGCCCTTGGTTTTCACGATGTGCGCGCGTGTATGCACCTTCCTCACAATGTGCAGCCATGTGAATAAGGCAGTAGCGGTGACTAGTTCCTCGCCTCTGCATCAGAATGAGTAGAGTGCGCCTTTGACTCAGACTGCGGTTTGGTACTCCGGGCAGGCTCGCATCGTAGCATCCATTCGCGCATGCCATATGTTCCAGGTTTGGTGCCAAAGGTGGAGGTAAAGTCGTCGCGTTGTCGCACGGTGGTTGGGTGATGTCGGCGTCTAGGGCGCGAGGGGTCGCGAATATCTCCGAACGTAGGACCTGTTGACTCAGAAGGTATATTGGGAAGCTGCACGCCAACATCTTCAACCACACACTCTGAGTCGTCAATCCAAGCACAAGATGGACTCAAAAATCTTCCAATGGGAGCGCACTGTCGCCTCGGGCACCTACCTCATATCTTCCGACCGGTCGCTCCTTCCGTACACCTTTGTCCAGGAAGCCTACGCAACAGACGCAATGTTTTGGGCGAAACCGCTCTCCTTCACGGACCTGTCGACCATGCTTGACAACAGCCTCACTCTCGGCGTGTACTCTGTCTCGGATGGCGTCAAGAAGCCTATTGGCATGGCGCGCTTCATTACCGACTACACAACACTCGCCTACCTCACAGACGTCTACCTCGTCCCCGAACACCAGGGCCAAGGACTCGGCAAATGGCTTATCGCATGCTGTCGCGAGATCTGCGCCGGAATGCAAAACCTCCGGTGGATGGTCCTCTTGACCGGCGGCGAGCAAGCGCAAGCGCTCTACAGAAAGGAATTGGGCATGACAAAGCTTGACGGGGTGGAGGAGGGGCTGGTTTGTATGGGGGCTCGGCGGGCAAAACTCACCGAAGCAGCGGGCGCTCCGCCCTCAGCATAGCGGGACCTAGCGGTTTGCCGTCTAGGCACGTATGCAGTTCCCTACCTTAAACATGGACGACTATTCCTCGCGATCAGACGCTACAGTGACAGAAACGTGGTTTGATGGTTGGTCTCGACTGATGACAACGGCTATCTTTGCTTCCGGACTAGTCGCGGGCCCATGCTGCATGCATGTCATCTCTAGCGTAGATATCGCCATCCATTTTTCTTTATCACCATAGACTACTGGTCTGGCTCGCGCCCTCGGCCTTCTGGTATGTTCCGAGTAAGCGGACGACGCCTGAAGCCTGTTTCGAGCCGGCATGCGATGAATTGTCATCATGGAGGGGCTGTCAGGCCCTCCAGGGCTTGTTGCAACTCCGTCTGGTGGTTGTGTCGCGTCGCGCTGCTACATCGATAAGTGTATTACGCCTACTAAACTGGGATCCGCCTCCGATGCTGCCCGAGGAAGACTAATCTAGATCGCGCATGTGTAGACCTGTCGCATAGATCGCCAGGGCCTTGTTGATATACAGCTGCAGTTGACCCTGCGTTCACGTCACGTCCGCCGATCTTCCACATTTCAAACCAACATGACCGCGACATTTGAGACCTCTCCACTATCACGCACATCGTCCCCGCCAGCATCACTGAAGAGAAAACGAGCGGGTTCTGATACCCAACCTCTTACCCCGCCGTTGGCTGCAAGCGACTCTGAAGGATCGCGTCTTCTCTCGCGCGCCGTCCACGTTCTTTCGACTGCTGCCACTGCGCTCTCGCAGGTCACTTTTCTATATGAGTCCGACCATGTGGCGCGCGATGGTCTCCTCCAGGCTGTCGAAGTCATTACGAAGACCAGCCAGACTGGCGGTAAACTCATAATATGTGGAGTGGGCAAAAGCGGCTTGGTGGGGCGCAAGATGGTTGCGACGATGAAGAGTCTGGGCATAGCGAGCTCCTTCATGCATGCTGCTGAGGCACTGCATGGGGATCTCGGTGACATCAGGAAGGTGAGTTTCGTCTCGAAGCCCAAATGACGAAGAAGTACTGACTAGGAGTAGAACGACGCAATCATGTTCATATCCTACTCCGGCAAGACAGCAGAGCTCATGGCCCTCTTGGAGCACATACCCGCACACACACCTATCCTCGCCATCACATCGCATACGAAACCCTCAGACTGCCCGCTCCTCGACGATCGGCCGAACTCCATACTGCTGCCTGCGCCCATACATGAGTTGGAGGAGCTCTCATTTGGAGTCTGCGCGCCGACGACCAGCACCACTGTCACCATTGCGGTGGGAGATATGCTGGCGTTGACCGTCGCAGAGGCGCTGCATCAAGATGAGACGAAGGCTGTGTTTAGAACGAATCACCCTGGCGGTGCGATCGGTGCGAAGTCGAGACGGATAGAGAAGGAGGATGATACCCAGGTGGAAGCGAAGGAGTGCGATGGGCTGGTTACGCCGCCGGCTACCTGATCGTGCTCAGGAGGATACCATGCTCATCGGGAGACCGTGTGCATGAGGAGATCTTGCTCACGAAGATACCACAGGTGAGGAATTTGGAGACGTGTAGATCGTGTAGATCGTGTAGATCATGTACATGCGCAAGGAACGGCCCGTAACGAACCAGAGGGACTTTTTCCTCATGTCTTTCAGTCGAGAACTAATCATCCCTGGTGATGTTTCGCGGCAGCTCGCAGGCAGAAGAGCACAGTGATGTTGCGACCCCACGCGAGCACTTACACAAGGAAGGGACTAAACAGGTGCGCCGCAGTCAACATTGGCCACCAAATTGGAACGCCGAGAAAGCTCTAGGGTAACGTAGACATCTAGGTTACTTACCCTTCTTATCATCTCCAGGGTCGTGGTGGGTGTCCGACTGTTTCCTTCGACAAAGGTGCAGGGTAGTGGGTGGTACCTTCCCGTTCTATATGCGGCCTGCACTCGCTGTCCACTCACTTTCCACCCTGTCCACTCCACTCCAGCTCACTTTTCGTATGCGTCACCATACAGGTTTCTCGCACACAGCCTGCATTACCGTGCATAGATTGGACGGCAGCGCTGATCGACGCGCTCACATTGGACGACTGCATGATTGCGGCACAGCCTCGCTATGGGTGGTGCAATGAGGGGTTGTCTTGCGCACCTTCCGTCTCCCATCTCGATTTTCACATCCGCTGTGTATCCTCAGCTCACCAAAGCTGTAGCCCTCTGTTCCTGGATTGGACACTGGTTTGTTCCCTGATATGCCGTTCTAGCTCGCATTTTGCCCTAATACATGGCATTTTGGATCTGGCACTTCACCCACCATGGAAGCCCTAACAGCCATTGGCTTAATCGCCAATGTCATTCAGTTTGTCGACCTTGGCGCAAAGCTTGTCGGCTCTGCGAAGGAAATGCGCGACTCTGCCAGCGGCATGACGTTGGAGAACAAGAGCCTAGAGGAAGTCACCATTGAGATGCGCGATCTAAGTTCGAGCCTGGACCCTCCCACCACGAACGCGGAAAGCTACGATGAGCGAGTCCTCCGTCAGTTAGCTCAGGAGTGCCGTGAGCTGTCAGACCAGATCCTCCGCCTTCTGAAGAAGATTGCTCCAACTAAGCCAGGCTCGAGGCGTCAAATCGTAGGCTCATTGATAAAGAATCAGAAGTACAGAAAAGAGAAGAAAGAACTCGGAGAGAAGCTAGCAGACTGCCGCAAACGGCTGCATCTGCAATTCGACAAGTTTACCAGGTTAGTCAATGTCACGATGTCGCTCTTGGGCCCTTTTCCTGATACGGGAATAGTTCGAAAGTACATGCGCAGCTCCAGGCCCTCGGAAATCATGCGCAATCAAACCAAGCAATCTTGCAAACGTTACCGCAACAGATCGAGCGTATTCGCCGAGGCACATGTGTTGCTTCCTTGGGTGTTGAAGCCCTAGATCAGTTGAAAGACCTACTTGGATTGACGGAAGTAGCTCAAGAATCGGTCGTAGCTCGGAGTTTCCTCAATGATCTTGCGTTTGAAGGAATGGAGGCCAGAGCTGATGTCATTGCGAAAGAGCACAGCGAGACCTTTCGATGGATTGTGGAGCAAGATGCAGATGTCGACGATGTCACATTGCAAACTAACGCTCGCGAACAATACCTTTCATGGCTACATCATGCTTGTGGAATCTTCCATATCGCGGGAAAGCTGGGGTCTGGCAAATCCACACTCATGAAATTCCTGTACAAGCATCCGGAAACACGTAAACAGCTGTTGGCGTGGGCAGGTACGTTGTTCTTCCCTGACGTGTAACGTGTCTATTGACAACCACAGATAACAAAACGCTGGTGATGGCAAGCCACTTCTTCTGGAAACCCGCGAAGCTGAATTTACAAAAGTCACTCACCGGATTGGAGAGATCGTCACTTTATCAACTGCTGTCATCCCACCAGGAGTTGACGAAGAAGGCATTTCCAGGTATTTGGGAACATAGGATGAGCATCAAAGACGGTCGGATGGAGCTACCACACAGTCTCTCCTCGGATGAAATTCGCGATGGCTTCATGGCCCTCCTAAGAGATGAGACCGTCCAGCAATCATATCGATTCTGTTTCTTCATCGACGCTTTGGACGAGTACGAGGACATACCCCAATATGATCAGAAACACATGGTCGACACACTCCGCAAGTGGACACAGATCTCTCCAAACTCCATCAAGCTATGTGTATCCAGCCGGGAAGAGAATGTATTTGAGAACGCTTTTGCTGGAGATCCAAGGATACGATTGCAAGATCTCACCAGGCACGACATGGAGTGTTTCGTACGTTCTAGGCTCGAATCTGTGCAAGACCACAACACCCGAGAACGTCTCACAAGTGAGATTGTCAAGAAATCAGATGGCATCTTCTTCTGGGTTGTACTCGTCACCAAACAGCTCCGACAAGCGTTGGAGGACGGTGATGCTGCCTCTGTTTTTGAGAGGGAGTTGGCCACACTGCCTACTGAGTTGAAGAAGCTGTTCAATCATCTTCTTAACTCCATCTCCCCATTCTGCATGGAAAGAGCGCGTCGAATCTTTTCTATGGTGCTGAAACACGAGACATTGCCGATCAAACTATCGCTGCTTTCTTGTCTACACCTCGATGAAAATGAAATGAACGCACAATCATCCATGGAGGAGCCTGATACGTTGCCTGTCCTGGACTACCAAGACGGACAAGACCCACACAAATGGTACAAAGCGCATGAAAAACAAGCTCGGAGACAACTACACAAGTATTGTAGAGGACTGGTCGAGGATCGAGTCAACCCTGAAGTCTGCAAGCAAGAAGGGGGGTCTGCGGACCCCATACCTGAGCCCGACCCTTCTAAACCCGCTGGGTCGAGATGCATCCTGTTCGTACATCGCACTGTCATCGAGTTTCTTGAAGAATCAGCAATTCTGAAGCACGAATTGGGCGAGTTCGATGCGATTGATGCAATCTCCCAGTCGCATTTGGCAGAATTCCAACGCATACCTTCTTCTCTTATCAACCCGCTGTACTGGACATACCTATACAGTAAAATCATCGAGCTACGGTTTCATTCTGGAAAAGATAGGTTGCAGTTCGACTTCATTGTGCAGCTGGAGCATTTGATCTCACGAAAATTTCCGGGTTGGCTGGAGAACGAGCTACCTCCCGCCGAGCAATGCGTTCAGACTGCACACAATCACTGTGTTGTGTGCATTAGAGAAACAGACGTTAAAGACTCGAAAGGCCGTATGCGTCCTATCCGACCCAAAGCTCCAGCTTCTATCTTGGCCTGGCATGGTAACACTTCATATATACTTTGGCGGATTACAAGGCATGACGAACCACCGCTATCTGATCAGACACGCGGCATCGTCCTACACTGTTTGATGCGTAGGTTGGACATGACCGAGAAAGCTGAAGAGCTTGAGGGAATCGTGGCCTGCTTTGGAAAACTCTTGAACGAACGCGAATCTCCTGTTACACGCTTCTTGTGGGCCAATTTTGTCCAACTTTGTTCTACATCCCTACGCCACAATGATTCCTTATGGTCTCGTACTATAGGTCAGCTCATCGTCCTTTTTTTGGAAAAGTACGAGAGGAACGTTGTCCACAGAACGGAAATTCGTTTTGGGGGACGGGGGGAGGCCGGAGGTTGGGACTATACAATTATGAATGTGAAAGTACAAGGCAAGACGGTAGCGAGTATGAGTTTCATGCAGTTTGAACCTGGAACGACTTGCTATACTCTTGACAACCAATTCGGCGGCAACGCCTCAATAGAGCAGCTGGTGAAGTTATGGCATCTCGAGAACGAGCGAGAAATTCTTGGATTGCTAGAACAGGAGCGTGAGGCAATGGAAAGGAAAGAACAAGCCGTGGACCTGGTCGCCACGGCCCAGGAAGCCTCTGAGGAAAGCTCATCCGACGGCACCCCAGCTTCCGATACAGTGTCTAGGCGGCTTCAAAGGATCGACAGTGCCGCCGAAATTCGAGATGAAGGCGGCGTAACAGCGTCTTGTCTGCCCGTCGAAACCAAAGCAGACGTCGATCCACCCCAACTCAAGGCCGCCAAAACCCGCTCTATTCGTGCATCGGGTATCGCGACAACCATCGCCCTTCTAGGTGAGAAGATTCCATTGAGAAACTGATCGGCTTTCGCTGACATGGACTCCAGCATTGCTGTTAGCTTTCCTCATCGCGCACCAAGACTATTGGGGTCGATGGGTTTCTGGTATAATAAGCTGAACAGGTCTGGAGCCTACATCGACGTTGGAGGTAGTCACCGCGACTGCCTTTTTCAAATGGCGGCACTTATGTAAGGAAGGTGCATACATACGCGTACACCGTCAAGATTATGAGAACAAGTAGTTGATTGCACGCTACATATAGCATACGCCCGTTTAATCGCGCTTACCCAGTCACTTGCAGTAAGCTGTGAGGATGTCTACTCCCAGTCGCATTATGACCACCTGCAGTCACGTGTCGATCACCACCCTGTTCTTGGTCAGTACGGCTTTTAAATACCAGCAGGACTGGCCTACAACCTCGGCCTTCGCAATGCGCCATCAGCGTGTCTTTCCAAACCTCTCGGTCCAGAGTCGCGGTGGTGACGCGAAAATCTTCATACCCATCGAGCGCCCCATACAACTCATAGCCAGCCTCGATCAGCTGCCGCATCAGAGGAAATAGCGCGCTGACGCGTTCGGAGAGGAGGCACATGGTGAATTCCTCGTCATACGTATACTCACCATAGCCATAAATGTATTCGACTCGCAGGTGGAAAACGATCGATGCGCCAGGCGCGAGCTTGAATAGGCATTGTCGGAGTGGAGTGGCGTCGTCTTCGTCTAATTGTTCGCACAACTCGACCTCGACATGGCGCAGCAGACGATCGCCTTCCAGACCGAGACCCCAGATATCAGTCTCGAAGAACTCAGCGACCTCCGCAGGTGTGAGATATAGCCACAATTTGGTATGATAATACCAGCGACGTGCAAACTCGCTCATAGTGTCCAAATCGACAAATTCCTCGCTACACATATGCGCGTATCCGTATCCGCGTTCCTCGGCGAAACCCGCAACAATGTCCCGGTATGGCTCGTCGACGTCTTCGAAGTAATCGTTGTTGATGAAAATCGGTTCATCTCGAGCAGGGGAGAGGATGTGGTCGTAGATCATGTCCCTGAGCTCGCGGGGGAGCTTACTTTGCATGGCGGTACACAATGCCCGACAGGACTGCTGCGCGTAATGTTCGATATGGCAATCGGCGAAGTCTTCGGTTTCTGACTGCGTACGATCCAGATTTGCGATTTGGGACGCCGTGAGTAGTGGACTGTTCTTGTCCAGAACATGGTCGATGAGTGCGCATCTCCTGAGTGTGCTGGTCCTCATATTAGCACTGAACAGCCACTCCATCAATGACCCAGGTATCTACATTGCCTTCAGGGTTATCGCGACTTTCATTTTTGTCCCCATGTATGCTGCAGCTCGCCTGTTCAGATTCTTGTATGAGGCTTTTGAGATGACTTACATGTACACGCTTTCACGATCCAAATCGATTGTGTAAGCCATGTTGCTTTCGCTTTTGGGAGGCTTAGATGATGGGGTTGAAGTTCTAAGAGATTTGGTTGGGTTGAATCAGGTCTGCAGACTACATTGAGCTAGAACCTTGCAAAGTAGGTATCCTAACGTTAACGTAGGCTCTGGGCTGTTTGGGCTTTTTCTAGGTTGGCGTGACTGACCTGTAATCCACACATTTCACTCCGTAGGTTGAGTCTCTGGTCCGTGTGTTCTTTCCCTTCACATGCACTTTGGATGACTGATCGCAACGCCGCGTTGAGAAAAGCACTCACCCTTCGGTCCCTACAGTCTCAACTACCCGCCCCGACCTTTCTTCAACCACCTTCTCGACTCACTAGTTATCCAGTTACCATCATGGAGGTGCGCACTCCGCCCGCTGTAGGATTCTTTCTCGACCATGACTACGTTTCCCAGTAAGTTCCATCTGGGGCCCACAAAGCTAGCAGCTGCTAATGGTCCCAGTACCCTCAGGCATATCCGTATCCTGAAGCACATCGAAGCACCCGACCGAGCTAAGCTCAATAGCACAAGGCCTCATCAAAGGCGTAGCAATCTTACGTTGAAGACCCGACAACGATTCCAAAATCTTAAGCAAAAACTGGCCAAAATCACAACAAAACTAGACCAGCTCGAGAAAGTTCTTCAGCAGTACTTGGAGGATTTCACGACTTACCGTCACCGAATCGTCTTGGAACTGCTAGAAACAAAGTTTGCCCGAGAACTTCGCGATGAAGTATACGGCTACATGGTCGGCGATCAAATGGCGATCAGTATCAATCTTCATGACCTTGTGGCGTCTGCCTCGCCAGCATTCGCCATTCCCGGTCACACGAGCGCGAGTCGTTCGAAGCACTTCCAGACGTCACTCGAACGCAATGGCTACGGCCACTTACTCGAAGCGAGGGCAATACTCAAGGACACGATGCTGGAGCTAGCTCATGCATGGTACAGGCTCTCCACGTTTCGCTTCATGCAAGCCCACCACGTCAATCTGTTTCTTGAGACCGATTTTCATGGCTTCGGCCTCGATACGCAGAAGCTGATCCGGAGTATTGAGGGTAAAGTAGCTGCCACGAACAGCTCTTGAGTTATTTTGCTAACTTTTTACTAGTATGTATTCTCCTTGCTACGCTTTAGCTAAGGCAATTTGAAGACATCTTACCTATTGTCTGTGCTAACAGCTTGATAGCTATTCACCCCTGTCAACTCGTCAGCAGATTGCGTCAAACTAGCTAAAGACTTGGCCGAACTTCACACGCTCAAGACTGGTGCCAACATCTTGTTGAGCTTCCAGGCCTTGCCGACAGTGATGAGGGAAGTAGCAGATTCCAGCGCAGCAGTCCCGCCTCGCGATCTTGCACTTCTTTTTCCAGGCATCCAGAAGTTGATTACAGCCGAATACCGCGTCACGGTGAAGCTGGGCTACCACTTGAAGTTCAAGGTTGTGAGCGAGGAGCTGACGGAAGAGTGTTGGAAGGAGACAATTGAGAAGCATTACAAAGTAAGTCCCTTCCTTGGTGTGCTGATAGTCACTCGCTAAACTCGTCCCAGGCAATGCTTGCGAAACGCGCCCGCCGTGAACGAGCGGCCAGTGATGATTCTGATTCGTCTGAAGAATTTGTTGAGTAAGCATTGTAGACTACAAGGTGATGGAAGAGGAAGACGTGCAGGTAATATCTTGTGTTGGAGATGACATGGCGATGCAAGGGTGCGGCGGAGAAGAGCGAAAGTTCCTAAGACGCTCCAGGCGTGGTTATCAAGTTTCTTAGGTACAGCTTAGTATCTTTGTCTTCTCCAATCGAAGTTGTAGTGGCGCTTTCTCCTCGCCGGTTGATAACCCAGTATCTTCTCCACCCACAAATCATAGGTGATCTCCTCCTCGTTATCGACGGAGAACTCCAAACCATCATCCACCTTAAACACCAAACGAAGCCCAGCTGCACATAGTTTTTTTGAATGTATCGAAGAGTCCGCTCTCAAGGTCCTTGACGAACTCCAGTTTCTCGGTTGCGCCGCGCTCCCAAAGAATGCGTTTATCTCGTTCCCATAAGGTCATCTGCATCTGGATGTGTGAAAATGCGCTCCTGTGGGACCTGGTTCTAGATGCGTGGCAACTCATAATCCCGACCCTAATCCTGGTACCAGGACTGAACTGTAGCAACTGTTCCAATCGGTGGCGCAGTAGTGGCAGTTGCCGCGGTGGTACACCATGGTTATCTCGAGCAACGAATGCCATGGATATATCGAATTGGACATTCCTGATATGGTCGCGTGGCACGATACCCAGCTGCCAGCGATCCTGGATAGCGAGATCGGCGACGAGAGATAGATCATCGGGTTCCATGATGAGGAGGGTATTGACTCTGTACCAGTGCTCCACTAGTTCAACTAGGAACTTGTGACCGACTTGTTCGCACCGCCAGATCTCCGATCGATCCAACCGCGGACAGCACAAATCGAACCTCCAATGTTCGCGGTTTTGTATAGACAAACAGGCTCGTGCGCGTTTACCCACGTATTTATAGCCTTCACCATAGTTGTAGTAGCAGAGGTCGTCGTGATCTAAGATTCCCGCGAGCCTAACGATACCCGGTTTAACAAGGTATCCGTATATTTGGTCCCGAATCTCTCGTGCTGTAATCTTCTCGAGAAGGCCGTGACATACAGAACGACGTACTTCTCTGTTGTAGTTGTAAAAGCTGTGTTTTCTCTTCCGTGCTTCAATGGAGTTTTTATAAGGCAGAAATTCCGCGTAGCTCCTCCAGATTGAGTAGGCGGCGCGTATATCATGGGCGTAGGGAGTGTAGATAAGGCGAGCCAATCAACGCGATAGTGCTCTCACAATAAGCTTTACTCGTTCTTCTTCGTGGATTACGGTCTTGGCCCTCTTCGTAGAAGATTCCGCGTCGGTCCAGTCCCTTTGAGCTATCAGCAAGAACAAGTGAATCCCACAAGATATCTGCCTTACTTGTCAAGCATATCATGAACTCGCTTGAGGGTTCAAGCCGACGGTACTGGATTCTCTAGATGAGATGTTGCCATGGTCCAGATGTTGTTGTTTGCGCAACTCGAGCTGCGCGCAAAGTGAACTCTGTTACATATACCTATTCAGACTCCCACCGGGGTGCAATACAACTTCGGAAATGACGAGTTGGCTCATCGATCGGGTTTCGTGGTAGCATCACGCTGTACAACAAGAGACGTATAACCCCCTTAGAAGCCTACATCACCTTGGAGTTCGTCTACCCCTTTTCTTCTTTACTGATGTAGAAGGCAGCGCACCTGTTTAGGATCCATCTTGTATAGGTAAGATGGCAACGTCCTCACGATCGCTCAGTCTGGACATGCAACACATTGAGCAATACCGGCTCGAATTCGTGAGTGTTGCTGCATCAATCGTCGTGTTCAAGCTGCCCAGATGCAGCTAGTAATCGTGTTTGTGGGTGACTGAGCGCGTGATCACGTGTACAATCATCGCCAAGGCTGCTTCCATAATCGGCACTATGATCTGTCATTGGCACCCGACACGAACGACGTGGTATTTGGCTGGACGATCGTATTTTCCACCGACGCAGGACGGCTCCAGGCGCGATTGTTGTCACCTCGTTGATGGGGGCCGAAGAGAGCTCCGCGAGGATGGTTGGAGACATGCATGTGAAAGCCTCGGTCTCAAACTTTCAGGGGCGATGACGCCATCGCAGGGGAGTCGCACCCCATCGCGCCTGCACCACGCGTCCCTCAATATTTCTCACGACCTTACTTCACCATCATTACAGTGCGTTGTCGCATTGATCAGACATTATTCATTGTTATGCTGTTTATCTAGCTTTTACTTTCTATTGATCCATCTATATGGAGATCCACCTTCCCATCCAGGTATCCACGATCTGCTTCGCCTCGTCGACCAGACCCATGTCCAGCAGCAGTTGCGAAGTTCCGCGCACGGCGGAGTCAAGTGCTGAGAAGATCCAAGCGTGTGTGTAGCTGGTGTGCTCACCGATGAAGATGGTTTGGAATTCGGTCTTGTAGTAGGCGGGCAGGAACAGGTCTTGTTGGCCAACGAATGGGGAGGCCCAAGCACCGGCTTGGTGCTCGTCGGTCTCCCAGCACTGGCGCTCGTATGCACCAGTCCACTGCTCGGAAGCCACATCGCCATGAATCTCCACCATCGCCCGCTGGACCAGTGCAACGTGGTCTTCTTCGCTGAGCGCACCCACCGAGCGCGCAAGGGTACCAGAGATGTACGATCCAAGGATGACACCGGGCCCAGTTGAGTTGACCTTGTACGCGGGGTAGCAAACGCTGCCGATACCTGCGATATCGACTGAGCCGCAGCCACCGATAATGGGCTCTGGGAGGTGTTCCCAGAAACGAGTCTTGTAGTGCAGAGAGACCTTGCAGGACTGCTGGTAGTTCATCTCGCTGATGGCGCGCGACAAGAGCGAGGAGTACTGGGGGAGATCCCAGAGCCTGACCTTGGAGAAAGGCACCGCAACGACTGCGTAGTCGTATTCCTCACTCTCCGGCTCCATGGCGAACGGATCTTGGCGCCATTGGACAGCGATCTTTCCGGTGCTCTCATCGTGCTTCAGGCCGGTGACCTTGCGCCCTAAAGTCAACCGGTCCTGGACGTGGGGGTAGAATGCACGAGGCAATGACTCCAGACCCTTATCAATGGTTCGCCAATCCGTAGCTTTGAAGTATACAGTGTCGTACTCCCAGATCGGAGCGTCGGCATTGCCGGTGATGTAGTCCACAACATCATCGCTCGCGTTCAACGCGTACTTGATGTACGCAGCCTCGGACCAATGGAAGAGACCCTTGTCGACGGCATTCTTGTGAGCCTTGAAGACATTGGTGGCGATCTCACGCTCAACTTCCGGTGTGTATCCAACGAATTCTTCGTATGCCTCCTCCGCCTTCTCCACGGCCTCCTCATCTGGGCCCTCAGCTGCTGGCAATGTGTAGGCTGTTGCGTTGCTCTTGATCTGCGCTGCGCTAGGGATCCGGCCGTTTGGCAGACGGTACCCATTCGAGTTAGCGGGCAGGTTTGGGCTTGACTGGATCCAGTTGATGAAGTTGACGGCAAGATTGCTGGTGTTGCCTCCGTTCATCTGGTTCAAGACGTCTCCGAGCTGGAAGACCATCTTGTGGTCATTGATTTCCAGTGTTTCGTTCTGGTCCGGGTAGGTGATCGAGACAGGGAATCGCATAGGCCCCATCTCCTGGTATTGGTATTGCTCGGGTGTGCTGCCTGCAAGGTACTTCGTCCGGATACGGCCACCGATACGCTGTGAGGACTCATGGATGTGCCAATCGTGGATGCCTACTGAGTCAAGGAGAAGACTTGTCATCAACCCCGACATGCCTCCACCAACAATGGCGATCTTCTTGCTCTTCTCGACTGCGGCGTACGAGGCGTTGTTTTGCTTTGCCTCCATGTAGGCTACACCGTCAAACCAAGGACCCATGGCGTCAGCCACGTCGGAGATCTCCTCTCGTTTCCGTGGTGGATGTTGGATCGAGATGGGCGCTGAGCGGCCAATCAAGTTAGAGCCTGAGTAGGCGTGAAGGCACCCGCCGTGGACAGCATCATCCGGCACGATCCAGACGAACCGCTCCGGACGACTTGATCGCTTGATGTAGTGGGATGCCACGTCGTGGTGACCGTCGGCGTGACTCTTCATGCCGCATTCGCCATACACCAGACGAATCTCGCCCTCGAAGTCATCGTCTCCATAGCCGACATGGACATTGTGTACCGAGTTGGATGTGACAGCCAGGGGCTTGAAGAAGACAACATCCGATCGAGGAGCAACTGGGCTGGCAATAGCACCACCAGCCAAAGACAGGGCAGCCGAAGAGGCTGTGAAAAGACCCTTCATTGTTGTGTGAAGAAGAGATGGATGTGATGGGGAGTTTGAGATGAAGGGAAAGATGCCCTGCTCATATACAGATCTACATGCACGACGACAGCGGGCAGTACTGCACAAGCTTACACCTTCTTTCGCATTCCCGTTGGTCACCAAGCCTTATCGTCGTAGGGCGTGGCTATGATCATCGGAAGTTGTCGTTGCGACGGACCGTTTGCCGTTGGCCTAACAAAAATGCTATGCATTCGGCCGCGATAAGGACTACAAGGCGTCGCCATGCGCGACTTCTACAAGACTTTTCGTAAGTAAGATGGGGTACGCGACACGCCCAAATGCCTGTTACAGTTGACCCGCAGTATACCCTCGAAGCGAGGTGCAGTAGCGCTATGCAGTACGGGTGATAGTGTGGAGACTGAGCTTACGGAAGAGATGGCATTGTGGACTGAGGTTCCTACCAGCGAGAAGACAACCCACATCGGATAAGACAGGAGTCTCGGCTTAGCTACGACCGTCATTCCGAGCGATCTCGGCTCTGATACCAGCGCTGCGTATGCAACTTCACGATGCTACCTTGAACCATCCAATGCGGTCCCCCTTCGACGCCAGACATCATGGACCGCCAGGTCGTTCGAACAAGAACGAAGGACACTACTCTCACAAAACATACATCAAGATGAAAGCTACACACCCTATCGACTGCGTCGTTACGAAGGTGACACAGAAGCGAGGTGCGTGCGATGATGTGCATGTTCGTCCAGCGCGACCCTACAACGTACTGAATGCGTGCATGTGGGGCTGAGCTACCAGCATGAGTCGGACACAAGATATGCCAAAAACGTGGCATAGAACTTCGTCCGGGAACAATGTCAAAACTCCGCAAGGAAAGGCTTGTCCTACACGGAGGGAAGTTCAGACAGGGGTCTAGATCCTCTCGGCAAATGAGCGGCAAGCCATGGATACCCCAGGTGGAGCCACGATAGCGACAACGCGCAACGGCTGGCCTAAACCCCGACTCTTATCTCAACACCCTGCAGCCTTTATCTCACGTTACGTCAGGACGAATGCGCGCTTCACAGTGCGCGTTAAACGCAGGATACAAATGCAGAGATATCTCGGCGCCCAGGCGAACTACATCTTCGACGGCCCTTCTCGCGATAGCTTAGCTGACCTTCGCTCCACCTCGCCACAAGTGCTATCCTCCTTCCTTTTCTAGTGCGTGCTGGATATCTACGCGATTTTGAACCCCACGATGGCGCCGAAACGGTTGCGCGAGGCCCTGCCAACCTGAGAGTAGTTCAGGTTGTACAGTTCCTGGTGGACATTCCGGTACCTTGGAGCCGGCGGCGGACCGTTAACCATTACAAACGGGTCTGACTGTATCGCGGATCCTCAGCCGTGGCTGGAATCCAACAATACTGGCTGCATGTCGGAGTAACATTGGCAGCGAGCTTTACCTGGTACATGGACACTCGCAGCTCTTGGAAGCCATGGCATTCGGTACAACGCGGCGGTCAGACTTGACCGAACACGAAAGAGTCGGGAGATGATGATCCGCGAGCATTGCCAACTCTTATAAGACTGTATAGGGCCAACGATATCGGAATACTCATATCATCATACTCGTGCCTCTACGTTCACAGCCTCGCAGAACTCAATCGCTGTAATCATTCATCATGGTCTCTTTCACCTCCATTGTCACTACTTTCCTCGCCGTTACTGGTGCCGTAGTTGCCAAGCCAACACCAAAGCTCGCTGAGCAACCAGTTGTGACCTATCTTGGTACCCAGGGACCCATTCTCTGTATGCTACCAGCCGATGTCTCATGACTACGTGCTAATTACTGTCAAGCGAGCGGTGCATGGACATCAAAGGGCATAGTCTACACCTCAGGAACCGTCCCTTCGTTCAATGGATCGATTGTAGCAGGCGGCATTGAAGCTCAAACGGTACATGCGCCAGTTATATCTCCATCGCGTAGCCTTACTCACTCAGCTCAGGCTCAAGTTATCAAGAATATCGCGGTCATCCTCGAAGAAGCCGGTACATCGTGGGACTACGTCATGAAGACCACCGTCTTCCTTGCCAACATGTCGGATTACAGCGCGATGAACGAGGTGTATGCTGCTATGCTGCCCACTCCCAAGCCAGCCCGCACGGCTGTCGAGGTTGGCAAGCTACCGGGTAACTTCTTGATCGAAGTTGAGGCCATTGCCGCCATTCCAGACTCATGAGGCGGAACAGTTGTAGAAAAGAGATAGAGACTAAAAGACAGTACTCCAAGCTGTATTAACAATGCGAAAGCTTCCCAATCAATACAAGTCAATCTTCATTGACCTTTCGCGTGAGAACTGGATGTGACTGTTCACTATGGCGGGTTTCGTACCTCTCAAAGTCTTACATCCAAATCATCGTACGATGCAGAACTGTGGAGGTGGAGTGCCAATGGATTTGCTTTTGTTTCTAGTGCGGAAATGGCTCCGCTCACACATCGGTGAACCATGACGTTGGATGTGGGGTAGAACCACAATCATACCTACCTAGGTAGGTACCGTTGGAACAGCCCAACGTGGTACAAGACCAACAGGCCCGATAGGATCGTACCTAGGATAACTGCAGCCTTTCCGCGATGCCTGAAATACACGACCACGATGGCAAGCCCGTCCACCACCACATGGCACGTGTAAACGGCATCCGCCTCCACTACATCAAATCCGGATCCGGCCCACCCCTACTCCTCCTGCACGGCACACCCAAAACACACTACTACTGGTACCGCATCGCCCCCCTCCTAACCAAAAAGTTCACCATCATCGCCCCCGACCTCCGCGGCTTCGGCGCAACAGACAAGCCCCCCGCAAGCGAAGGCTACGATGGGCGCACCAACGCCAAAGACATGGCCGAACTCATGACGCAACTCGGGTACGAGAAATTCTCCGTCCACGGCGAAGACCGCGGCGCAACATATGCCTTCTGCCTCGCAGGCCTGTATCCCGAACGCGTAACCCACCTCTCCTTCTGCGAAATGCTACTTTCCTACGCCCTTACCAAACAAACGTTCTTCACGCGGAAAAATATCGCAGCGCAGTACAATCAGGCCGGTGTGTGGAACTGGCATATCCCTTTCTTTTGGCTGCCGCATGTGCCTGAGATGCTGATTCAGGGGAAGGAAGAAGAGTTTTGGACGCATTTTATGAAGGCTGAGTGCTATAATCCTAGTGCGCTGGATCAGGTGGCTGTGAATGAGTGGGTGGGGTGTTTGAAGGCGCCCGGGGGATTGAGGGGTGTGTTGGAGAGTTATAGGGCGCATTGGGTTAATGTGGATGTTGAGGAGGAGATTTTGACGGGGGGGAAGTTGAGGTGTTGTGTTATGACTGTTGGGGCGCCGGAGTAAGTTTGATAGCGAAGAATGTGCTGATGGGAGCTTGAGGCTAATGAGGTTTAGATTCTTTGGCCCGCTGGTTAAGGAGCAGATGGAGTCTGCGGCGGAGAAGGTGCATATTTCGGAGGTGTTTGAGGAGTGTGGGCATAGCTTGGCACTTGAGCAACCGGAGAAGCTTGCCAATCTTTTGAAGAAGTTCATTCTTTAGACTCAATACGCTGGATGCGTGATCTCAATATAAAGAAACTACCCATGTGAAGTCGATGCACCGGCAACAATCTCCCCACTCCTTTCTCTAGCAGCTAAATCCACAATCTGTGGTACGACATCTACCGTCGCCGTAATAAGCTGTCAAGCAGCTGCAGATATCGGGTGTAGCTTGTGTCTAGTGTTGATCAGAAATTGCATGAGGAGACTCCGCATTGTGGGTCACTTACATCGAGACATTGCTCGTACCAGAGTGCGCAGATGTAGCACCATAAGAGTGGTTTTCCGTCAGCGGCTTCGGCCGCGACGGCCGCGACGACTGCGGCGTCGATGGCAGTGACATCGGGGCGCAGGACCGATGATGTAGGGACTGCGATGGCAGTTGTGGCCATGAAGGCGGTGATGAGGGAGAGGAAGTGCATGGTTGGTGTCTATTACTGGAATAAGTTCTGGTAGTTATGTTCTTGGTTGAGCAGTGAGTTCTTCCCACCGGGTTTGATAAATCGTTTCCAAAAAGACGTAGTACAGGCTCTTTTTATAGTTGGGAGGCTCTCGATGCTGGCAGTGTCGCGTCAACTGCGGCGCGAGCGCCAGCACGGCGTGGTCCTTTGCCGAGGAGTGAAGGACGAAGTCGCGATTTAACCGCTGGTTGAGTGAATGTTGGTTGCGAAAGCAGTGAACCCCTTACTTATCATGAGGGGTAGCTGTCTTGATGCATATACCATGCCGATTGACGAGCCGATTGACGAGTGTATACGACGTGTCGTGATGAGATCGTAATCATCAGCAGGTGCGTGATACTAGATCTGTGCCCGATCTTCCATATTGAGTTCCGCCTCGTATGAGTTCCCGTCGCGGCCACATGTCGACAAGCTCATCGTTGTCATAGCTTGTTACTTCGGTAGAAACTTCAGCTCTTTTGATTTGTGATTACCCAACCAGAGGGTACAAGACCAGAATGTCCAACGAGGAATGATAGGATATGACATTGCCTATAGCTCACAATAGACCTTGGGAGTCAACGGTCTTCATCAGATCCTTGTACAGTCTCCCTCGGGCTTTCCTATGCAGGCGTAAGTATACCTAGGTATTATGAGCTGCTCTTTAGCAACCCCGCAACAGATAGCGGCTTCCTACCAACAGCACATGCAAGATAGCTAAGACTCCGCAACATCGTCTGTATAGTTGCGGCGTGGCACTGACGGCTCATGTCGATGACGTCGTGTCGCTGAACATGCCCACCAGCGATTGAACAGTCAGGGAAGCAAGGGCGTGAGTCACATCGGAGATGATGTGCGGGACGTGAGACTCGGCTAGATCATGCGCCGGCCCGCTTTTGAGTCACACAGCAATCGAGATGGAGGACGATGCATCAGCAGGTGCGTGTTGAGACACGCGTGGACAATGAGGACGTCACGTGGACGCTTATCGATAGACTAGCGCCGGAACATTCTGACGCGGGCACCGCGAAACGTCACCTCACGACGCATGCCATGGTTGCCTTCATCCTCCTTGTCCCCAATCGCGATCTGCCCTCATGCCAACGACACCTGCTTCTTCTCCCGCTGGCAGTGTGCGCGTATGGTGTGAAACCCTGACCGGGTGGCACGCGCTTGTCCTGTTCCTGTTCCGCTAGCTACCAGCCCCATCGCCGGGAACGCACGATCGAGTCCTTTTCGCTTGCCGCTGACGCATCGGTCTTGTACACCTAGCTCATACGAGCGCATTCGGACAGAGATATATCGCTCGAGTGGTGGGAAGCCGGTTCTTGCTGGTAAATGCCGCAGGATCGCTACGGGAGATCATGCTGAATGCATGCCGCGTCGGCGCTGAGATCGTCAAAGGGCTGGCCCCACCATCCTCAGTACACATTCGGCGATGGTGACTTTCCAGTCATGCTGGATAATCACAGCGTGGAGCGCACCTTGTTGGGCCGTCCATTCAGGTAGCATACAAGAGCGTGGAAGCCTCAAGGCAGAAAGGGCGGCTGTGCTATGCTCCTTCCGTACGCCTGCTATGTCCCGCTTCCCGATTGGCGCATCGCAATGGTCTGGCAGCACTTCATTCGAAGAAAAACCTGAACGTTATGATGCCTACTTTGACGTTAGGTCATCTACTTGGCGAGATTTCGCCTTAATGTAGGCTGCAAACATAACGCAGCATGCAGCGCATATCTCCGCATTCAATATAGAGTAGTAAAGAAAGCGTTCAACCCTGACGGCCTTCATTCCAGAATAGGCCAGCGGCATGCGGCACATCCTATCAGGCAGCTGCGATTTGGGATTCCGTCGATTTGCGTGGAACCGTGGAGTCATCAAGTGTGGTGGGGGAGTACATATAGAGTCCCGTTCCATGGTAAAGGCGGCTTAGCGAGTATACCTGCCCCTTGAATGCTTTGTGCAGCCGCCAGAACCCAAGCCATTCACGTGTGCACGCTAGCGTAGATCAGTCTTCGGAAGCCGCATAACAGCTCAACCTGCCGCACCGTCCTCGCTGATTCCAACCTCATCGCACTGCCACCACGCACATAAAGCCTGCTCAACTCCCGCGCTGTCGCGTCAAGCACGACTGCACCCCGCACCCCACACAAAGCAACAGTCGATCTGCTTCTTCCGCACGACATTGTCCCTCAACGACACACCCTGTGGTCGCGGCATTCTACCTGGTGAATCCTAGTGCTCCCGATTAGCGCATGCTTTCACCCCTGTCGTGCGTTGGCTGAACCCACCCCACATCGCGCCACCTGAAACAGGTACATCGTCAAAGGACATCACCAGTCACCGATCCGATTGCATCTTTCTCACACATACTTCAATCCACCGCGACAATTACTCAAAACCGTTGTAGCCGCCATGGCAAGATTTGACGACTTCCCAGCAGAGTTGCGCAACATGGTATACGACCAGCTTCTCCGCGATCGTCATACTCAGCAGCCAACTCACAACTCTCTTGCACTCTTCACCGTCTCACACCAGGTGCATCTAGAGTCTACTTCTTACTTCTACAAGAATAATCCCATCAGCACCGTCGCCCCGTCGTCGCCTATAAACGCTAGCGCCACCGTGCTTCCTCCTATCGCCGATAGGTACCTTCGATTCCTAAGTCGACTCAACGTATCTGCCACGATTGGGAGATCGAATCCGGAAAGAGAGCGCAAGATCGCTGATACCATAGCATCACTAGCTACTATCGGCGCAGCCTTCGAGGACCTGGAAATTTGCATTCAATCCTCCTTATCAAGGCTTACGAATTCACGCGTCGATGACTCCGTATTACACGCCAACCATCCCATCACGGTTTCATTGCGACAACTGCTCGATTCTGGAGTGGCAAAAGTTTTGCGCCTCGATCTCCACAAAGTCTGGTTTGCGCCCGGTATCGCCCAAGACCTTCACGTACGATACGGCACTCGACTCCAGTTCGTGGGTGGCAGCAATGCTATCATGGACCCACTCAGCATGGAAAGGTCTCTCATTGGCGTTTCTGCAAGCTCTCATCTGACCACCTTAGGTGTCGATGACGAAGTCATGGCCAACGCTTGCTTGGACGATGCTTACACTCCCCGCACGCCATCTTCTCTTCCTTCCTCGATTTGTTCACCATTCGAAGATCTGGACATGTTTTCGGTGACGTCGTTCGATCTCGACTCCGATACTACTGCCGACGACGAAGGGTCTATGGACTACGCGAATGAAGGTTCATTCTTCTCTGGCGCCGACATCGAAGAATGGGAGGCCTCGACACAGGCTGTCGAACAGGACGAACCGAAACACCAGTACGACATCGAAATCGAAATCGACGAAGACGACGATGAGGATGAAGAGATGGAAGACATTTCGCAAGACGATATGGAGGCGATCTTTGGCAATCTGGAGGAGACCGCTCATCACGTTGCCAATGATGCTGACATTTCATACATGACTAACTTTGCGCCTGAGCTGCTCTTGACTCGGCACAATCTTGGTCATCTGGAATGAGGCTTACGCGGTAATACTACTAGGTCTCGCGATATGGCATGTGTGGACTTCCCATGATGTCAGTGCGTGTTGTACAGCATCCATGATGAGGCATGATTGCAGCGAGCAATATCGTGCAATTTGTGATTATGGCACCTTTGCTTTTTTCGGCATTCGGCATACAGCGATATTCAGCATCGAAGCGTGCTCATCGCGTCTTACACAAGCGAGTGTTAGCATTTGTTAACGGCGTTTTCTTGGTTTTCCACATGTATCGGATACCCGTGCGTCGCTACCACCAGCGTTCAAACGTACTTCCACTTCATCACACGACGATAAGCTGGCACGAAAACCGCTGCGTCTCTTTAAATAAATTACGAATCGAAAACATATCTTCCATCCCATGTCCCACCGGCCAGTCGATGCCATCATACCTGAGTCATCGGGAATGACTCCCACAAACTTACATCCTCATTGCTAATCAGCTTCTCGCAGCACTAGTATTCTCCCTTCATCATCCCCACCGTAGCTCTCTGCGGTCAGCGATATGGGGAATGATCGATGCAGACTTCAGAAACCCCGCGTTCCCTATCTTCGTGATTCCCAGCACGACGACACCATGCCGCAGCCGGAGAACCCCTTCGCTCACTTCTTGCACTCCCAAGCACGCCGTAAATCCGAGTCCGCTGCAATCCCAATCTACGACCGTGATGTCAAGCGCGACACGGCGACAAGCTCCACGGCACGCAACCCCTTTGCGCCGCCGGTCCCACCAAAGGACGAGCCGCGTGAGAGCGCGTCTACTTCACCAGCGATAAGTGGGACAAGGAATACTCTGTCCGCTCTGGAGAAGGAGTGGATGCTGAACGACTGCATTCAACCGACCTTGGCACGTGAAGATAAGCTGAGGCAAGAATACTCACCGAAGAGTATGAGGGCGGTAGCCGAAAGCGAAAGTCGGGACGGAAGGTCACCCGCACGCCGGATACATCCAGCTTTAAGGTCGATCTCATCACCGCCACGAGGTTTTATAGCCCTCCGGGAGAGTGTACAAGATAGCGGGGTCGACGTGTTCAGTCCTGTAATCTCCAGCGAAGCAACATCGGAGGACGCCAACAGCGAAGTCAAGTCGAAGGCCACAAAGCGCGATACCGTCGCCGATCTCTTCAGCGAGATAATGGGAACCGGCAAAGCGCCGCGAATACCTCGTCAGAGAGTGCTAGACGAGGTCTCTACACGTTCCGCCGTGCCACCTCCCCTGCGTATACCCAGCAAGCCCAAGCCGTCTCCTCGTGGTAGCGCCCTACCGCCGACGCACAAGTATAATAAGCTAGAGCTAGGCGGCCGTCCTTCACTCCAGATCGTAACGACTTTCGCCGAGCCCAGAACCGCACCAGAGCCGCTCACCAGTCGTCGCAGTTACACGAAGCGCATGAGTCACCAGCAGGGTCGTAAGGATAGACCAGCACGGGCGTCGATGATGCGATGGAGTCTCTTCCCGAAAGATGCGCAAGTAACACCGCCGCAAGTACCAGAACCACGGAATGAGACACCGTCCATACCCCGGAAGAGCAGCAAGAGAGGCAGGAGTATCACCTTGGAAGAGCCTTTGCTCCCAAAGAAGATACAAGTTCCTCTTGAAGAAAGTGTGCCACCGCCTCTCACCAAGCAACGGCGCGCGCAAACCTTTCCAGCGCAAAAGAGTAATCACAAACTGCGGAAGGATTCAAACATTCGTCTTTCACCTACCCTGCCCCAGCGCAGGAATACACATCACATCACCGTGAACAGGATGCGCGATCCAGACGAGGCCTTCGAGGAACTTATCGCGCTCCGCAGACGTGCGACCGTTGACGTCACGGATGGCGCACCTACCGTGCCTGCCAGGGCGGATAGCAAACCCCACGGTAGCGGCGGCGGTAGTGGAGGGAATTGTTTCGGCTTATACACCACAGCAAAAGGCCGCATCGACGATATCGTCGAAGTAGTGCGAAGCGTGAGAGAAAAGAATAGGGCGAGGAAGAAGCGGGAGAAGATGATGGCTGAGGTGCGGAGGAAGTATGAGGAGATGGCTAGTGCTACTAGTAATCAGACGGGTGGTGAGGGAGGGTATAAGTGGTTGTAATTGGAGATGTGATGGGGTTTACTATGTTGATGTATCTATACTATGTCTGAAGTTGGATGAAATTTACTCTCGCTCGTCAACCGTGATCCGCAACATCGACGACCCAGACGAAAAGATACTTTCACGAATGGGATAAATCACAAGTATAATATGTTGATCAATGGCCACACAAAATTCGCCGCCCTGCCTTCTCGCAGATCTTCAGCTGTAGGCGGGATGGTGGGCTGCCGGATAGGTCGTTCCCGCCCATCCGACGAGTTAGCTGAGGAAGACTTGGCTTGTGCATGTGGTGTAAACGTTGCCGCGCAAGGGTTCAGAATCTGATTGAGTCTTGCTGAAAATTCTTCATAAGAGCGAGGCGTGTTCGAGGTGTTGCTGGTGGTGGCATTGGTGTCTATCTGGCTGACATTGGGTTCTTCGTTCGGTGATGTCATAGTGCTGGTATGGAGTGGAAACGGCAAGAGACTGCTGATTGTAGGTGCGCCCGCGGGAATGTTTCTTTTCTAAATGTATGAATGGGAAGGATTGTTCAGAAGACTAAATACTTCACTCATCACTGTTTCGCTTGTGGTCAGTGATTGTTGTGCGCGACAATGTCTAGTGATGGAAGCAAACGATAGTCTAGTAATCGCATCTATTGTTCTGAACATGTCTCTGGTGTTGTCGCAGAAGCTACGTACACTACGAATACTTGTCTAAACCCGTTCGATACTTCTACCTACTATCTGAACTGGTATGATAGACTACAAGACTCACTCAACTCCGCCGCTAAAATCGCCGTCGCCCTGTTGTCCCTCATGCACCCGCCCGCGTATCTCATCATAGAGCAGCGTCAAGAATTTCTTCAATCGAGGGGTATTCTTCTACCGGCCTTCTATTTACTGCTTCTCCAAGCACCCAAGAACCCGAGGAGGGTGGAAGTGGTGAGCTAAATCTTCATATTGCTGACACGGCTACTCTTCTTTGGGACCGCGGGCCTTGATTTTGGCGATGAGCTGCCAGAACTACGTTGGCGTGAGGAAGATCTAGAGTGACTCTCTGAGCCATGGGCATAACCCTTATGGACCGATGACTCGATGACTGACGCCAAGAAGCCGATTGCGTACAATATGAGGTAGATGAAGTTGCCAAGGAAGGAGGGCTGCAACGAAGTGATTGCGGTACAGACCGAGACCGTGGTGAACGCGGCGGTGATGCGATGAGCACCGGAAATGTATAAGATGCCCTCGTAGAACGCGAGTATGACCCAGACTGCCATTGCGGTAAACATAATTATGCGTCGTGGTGTATGGGTATCTTTGCCAGGATTGTCGTCTTCTGGGGTCGGCATGCTTTCGCGCCGTCCCTCGCGATCGTGTCTGTCGTCGACTGGGGGGGCCTGGATCTCTTCATGCCCACTTGGTTGGCTGCTGGTGTCGATAGAAACAGACTTCGTCGGCGCGGAAGGCTGTGGCGGCAAAGCAGTGCCTGGATTTGACAACTGTTCGATCTGGTGGTGGCCTACTTCTGTCATTGTGTATGGTAGCTGTGACCTAGTTGTATGGCTTATGGTGTAGTGGGTCGATTAGGAAAGTGGTGGCGCAACCCGATATACATACTGAGCGGAGAGATAAATTTGCTTCGTCTCAGAACGCGCAAGAAAGCGGACGTAAGACGAAGTAAACTGTCAGCCAAACAACAATAATAACAAGACCTCTAGAAACAACCATGCTACAACAAAGATCAGTTCTCTGACGTCCATTCAAGCACTGCGCTAGGGTGGGTAAAACCCGAGTGGCAGATCAGGCATCCAGTTCCTGTAGACCTGAGTATCGGTTGGCGTTTGCATGCATACAATGCGGACCAGGCTACGCCGTATCAGGTCTACAAGACAACGTCACGAAGTCAGTTTTAAGTTAAGAACACCCGTGCAGCTAGTTACCGAGAGTCCGAGTTGTGTCGCGTACTCGAGGTTTGACAAGTCGACGACGCCGCACGGCAGGCTGACGACAAGAATGTAAGAAATAGACATCGGCCCCAGTGATGATCACTGATCAGGGCCAGTGATGATACCTAGGCTATCCATCGTAGCCCCATAGGTGTAGTAATCACCGAGCTTATTGCATTGACGCTGACAATGTCGAACGTTTGATTGCTCCACGGAGCTGCGGAACGCCCAGTCAGCAGCCGCATATTGTGGCACCGCCCAGGAAACACGGCGTTCGCTGCAGTGGACACAGGTTCGTTTCAGATAGCAACAGACAGCGGCGTCGGATGCGGGGTGGTTCTGCATCTTGGAAAGGAGGCGTTGGCTTATCGGGAACAGCGAAGATGTCAGGAGGCGGGATGGAGATGTCGAGTGGGGCGGGTAGTCCGGCGGGGAGATTGCCAGTTTCTGGTAGGCGTCGCCCCAATTTGGACCCTTTGCCACCATCTTCGCTCGTCCGGTCGCACTGGAAATGGCCTCGAGCCCAACACGTACAACAACAGCTGTTCCTCGGAAAATATCGACAGCTTCGACTTCGCCCATCTTGATGCGCTGTCAGCCACAGCGGCACATGACCGCCAACTGCACTGTGATGCCGTGCCAGCCGTTTACCAGCGCGGCAGGAACCGTGCATCAACACCCATTGGAAAGATTCACGGCTCAGCAGCGGGCCAGCATCTGATTCGCCCCAAGACGGGATCCAGAAGCCACTTTAGCACCGCCAGTGGATCCAGGTTCGGGGGCGTCTGGCTGCAGGGACACCGCAAAAGGCTGAAGGGCCTGCCAAGCGCAATCTCGCCGGCCCCCAGCGCCCCATGCCACCTCCTGCGCGTCTTGGCTGGTGCTGACGAGCTGGCGGGTCTGTCGTCTTTTAAAATGTGCTGATCCCCCGACGCCCTGCCACAGCACGCTGCACCCCCTATCGCCATCGTAACATCTTCGTCTGCACTCTTCGCGTCGCTCGTTTGGATCTATCCCCGTTCCTGGATCTACGCCGCCCAAGATGATGCTACCGTCGACTGGAGGTCGGAGCCCGTTGCTCGCGCTCTCGGTGAGCGCTGGCTGTGTCCTGGTATTCATCTTCGCCTTCATGGCTTGGCAGAGTCCACCCCGGGTGACTTTCCCACATGGCCAGTCTAACTTGTACGTGCTGTCAATTCATGGTTCTTGGGATGGAAGGGCCATGGCCTAATCAATGCTTTTCCGGCGGAAGCTAACAGACCCTACAGAGCTGCAGCCAGCGCGCAGACCGACTCGACCATTGGCGATGTCATTAAGCTACTGTACCAGAACCTGAAGGTGTCACCGACTGAGCCTTTTATTCGCGAACCAAATGGCAGCCACATCACATTGCCACCGAACCCGCGCTACAAGAAGAACCTAGGCAGCGACGTCCTGATTCTGGATCTGGAGACCCGTCCTCTCAAGTCTACTGAGGAGTACGAACGGGGCGAATACGACTGGCGCAACATCAACCACGTTTCCGGCGGTATCTTCAACCACTACACGTATGCGCTTGTCCACGGCTACGACTACAAGTTCGTCCAAGCCCGCGAATTCGAAGACCGACACGCTACCTGGATCAAGCCCTCTGCACTTGCAAACCACATCAAGGACTACAAGTTCATCATCTTCCTTGACGCCGATGCTGCTTTCCGCTTCCTGCACGTCCCTGTCGAATGGATGCTCAACCACTGGGACGTAAAGCCGCACCACTCCTTCGTCATGGCCAAAGACCCCTGGAGCGCGAAAGAGCCCCAGTACAACTCCGACCGCTTCAACCGCACCTACACCAACACCGGCTTCATGATTGTCCAGAACAACGAGCAAACCCTGCCTATTCTCAAGGCATGGCACGAGTGCCCCGACGACACCCGCTACGCAAACTGCTCGCAATGGAAGCAACCCCGCTTCCACGAGCAATCCGCTTTCGGCGAGTACATCCGCTACGACTACGAGCAATACATCAAGGAGCTTGAGTGTGGAGAGGCCAATGGCTTCCCCGGTGTCGAAGTCAGCAACTGCCAGGGCAAGCTCATCCGCCACTACTGGTTCGAGAAGAGCAACGTCAAGATGGACTTCCGCGAGAACATCATGAACGCACTCACCCTTCCGATACAAAAGATCTTCGCGCAGAACACGAGTGGCGTCGTATACCAGCAGGAAGAGAATGTCATACTACAATAGCAACGGCTTGCTCTACTGGCAAAGCAAAGATAATACGTTTACGAAGAAAGAGGAAAGGGCTTATCGCATAGCATAGCGTTGCATTACCAAGGCGTTTTCCAGATATGGGATGGGCAATCATTTGTTATCATGTTTTCGGTTTTGGTTCGGTTCGGGCTGGGTGGTTTTCGCCCCGATTCATTTTACCGTCGCACTTTCGATCTGGGTCTTCCGACGCGATGATACCCCAATACGAGTCTCCAGTTCACACAATCAATATTATTCACACAAGACTGATATCCCGTCATTGCGCCAGATTACTTTGCCTTGTTTCGAGTTGCTGCGCTTGGCTTCCGACGCTGTGACACCCGGGGCCAGTGTCACCTGCCGAACGAGGTATACTCCCCCCAGCCGATCCTACAGCTTACCACGATTGAGACGCCCGTAAAGCGCATCACCAACGGCACGCCTGAGAGCTACAAAACAGGATCTCTTGCCCAGCCCAGCCGCTTATCACCGCCACTTAACCCTAGCCACGCGACTGCATATCTGCCAAGGCGCTAGAACCTCCTTAGCGCCGATGATCGGCGGTCAGCCACGTCCTCGAAATTGGGTTCGGCTGGCAGGGCGGCGTCCTATGTAGGTTGGCCGACCGGAGTTGCGACGGCGCTGTTCAGGCGGTCTGTCTGCGGAGACTACTCGCTCTGCTTTGGGATGGACAATGGCGAGCTTTCGCGACAAGTGTCCCGAAATAGGCTGAATGCGCTTGTCGATCTACACGAAGCGCTTCGGATTGCGCCGGACGCTGGAATTGGCAGGTTTGGTCGGCGTACCCGGTCCCGGTGCTAGCAGGTTCTGACACGACGCT